TGTTTGTATTATAGCTTCCCTTAGTCTCTGTGGACACACCTCATGCAGCTGGAGAGGTGGAAAGTTGACTAGTGAAGAGGAACTAGAAAATGTTAGTTTGAGAGATAGAATGACTAGTGGAAGGACCACAGGTCTTTTTTTTTTTTGATATTTCAGAAATGTTATACACCATTTTCTTGTTTAGAAGGAATTCAATAGAAATTATTACCTTCATGAGAGAATGGTTTATTTGTGCGTATTCATAATTTGCATTACCTACTCTGTGTTCATTGTCAAGAGACAACAACAAGTAACAGTAAGCATGTCTTCTGCACTCAGGAAGCCAAGAGTTTAAGATGCCAGCATAGAAGTAATGTTTGACACATGTGTTTCATGTACTCATCATGAAATGATTTCATTAGAAGCTTGACAACAGGATTTTTAGTTTTTTGTTGTCCTTTTGTAGTTATACATGATAGTAGAATGTATTTGGGCATATTATACATACATGGAGTATAACTGGGATCATGTGCTTGGAACTGAGAGAGTCTTAGGGAGTTTAGTTCAGGAAACAGGGTATTCAAAATAGCTCAGTATTAGGCGAAAATGAGTGGAAATGTACATCAATAAAATGTTGAGGGACTTCCTTGGGGTGCTCAAGTGTGGTTGCACTGACAAAGAATTTGTGCTAGACTTTGAAGATGAGGCAGGGTAAGACTGCTTGGTAAAGAATGGAGAGGGAAAAAAAAAGAATGGAGAGAGTATTTTTAAGTAAGAGGAATATCTAATGAAGCCCATTGATACTAAGGTCTTAAAGATTATTTGATGACCACTCTCCTAGCACCAAGAGTAGAAAATATAAATGAGAGCATTATCCAAGAGAAATAGTGTTTGGCAGATCCCAGGGAATTCTGGTTGGCCATTAATTCAATTCTCTTCTTATCAAGTGTCCAAAAAAGCCAGCTAAGCAACATTTGAGAAGATTAAGACAATAGAATGTGCTAAAGTTGTCACTGCCCCACTCACCAAATGGCAGTGAGGCGGTTCTGTAGATGGGAGCTATTCATCAAAGGTCAGATTGTCACCACACAGGAAAGCCCACTCCTGTCCCCTACACAATAGTCTAATAAACATGGAATGTTTTGCTGGTAGGAAAAACTGAAAGTTTTAATCTGAAGGAAAATTTGACAGGGGAAATAAATGGAATGGAAGAGACCAGAGAAAATTTAGTGTCAGATTTGAAAGTGATTCTTACAAAACTTGCTTTCAAAGCTGTACATTTTATGCATCCTACTGCAATTGCTCTTAACATGTCTGTTAGAAGACATAGTGATTCTAGAATTCTTTTAATGGGGGGTGAGGGGCAGAGTGAGTAGGCTTAATGAAGAGTGGAGAGCAGTTGTCTGTCCCTCCCCGAGAGAGGAACTGAAGTGTATGTAGTAATTCCTTTTAGTGCTCTTCAAAGATCCAAAATAATCTTGGTTTAGGAAAATTAAAATTTTATGTTAAATTTGTTTTTTTAAAATTATGTTTTATTTGATAAAGTGGACTTTTAAAGGTTTATTCATTTATCAAATTTAATGTTTTTGCTGATTTACCAAATTTGTTAAATGTTTAGATTTAGAAATAAATGTAGCTGTAAGTGTTCTGATGGTTGATTGAAAATTGGCCAAAATCCGCTGACATTTTAGTAAAACAGATTAAATGGTATGAGAAGGGACATGAAGAATAGAATCCAGAGAGGGCAATTTCTGGGTTTTTGAGGACTAATAGCTAAGTTTTGACTAATCAAAACGCCTGTTTCTTTCTCTTCCCTAAGCTTTATGGGAGTCTCACTTATGTATCTTAGATGTTCATAGATGAGCTTATTGATATGAGCCCACTTTAGGTTTTTATGGACACATAACATTTTTCTCTCATTTCTGACACCACTATTTAAAAGTGGGAATATAGCTGGGTGCAATAGCGCACACCTGCAATCCCAGCAGCTGGGGAGGCTACAGCAGGAAGATCATGGTTTCTAAGCCAGCCTCAGCAAATGCAAGGGGCTAAGCAACTCAGTGAGATCCTGTTTCTAAATAAAAATACAAAATAGGACTGGGGATGTGGCTCAGTGGTCAAGTGTCTCTTAGTTCAATCCCCAGCACACCCTCCCACCCCTATTGGCTGGTTCTTTTTTCCCCCTTCTTATTAATTTGTAGGAGTTCATTATATTCTAGATAAAATTTCTTTAGTGGTTATCTGTATTATAATGTCTTCTACTCTGGTTTATTTCATTCTTTATCATTAAATAAACAAGTTATTTTAAATATGGCTTCAATTAAAAGTTGTTCCACTTATAGAGAGTACTTTTTATGTTTTGATTAAGATGACCCTTCCTGCTGTGTTTGGTGGAACATGCCTGTAACCTCAGCTACTCACTTGTAATCCCAGATACTCAAGAGGTGGAGGCAGGAGGATTTCAGGTTCAATTTAGTGAGACTTTCTCTCTCAAAATAAAAAAGGACAAGGATGTAGCTAAGTGGTAGAGTACCTTTGGATTCAATCCCCAATACTGACAGAAAACCAAAACCAAAAACATAAGAAAGACAACCCTTCCTGCCACAAAGTCCTAAAGATATTTTCTATATTGTGTTGCATAATCTTTGTACTTTCTCCTTTTGTGTTTAGGTTTATAATCCCATGCAGATATATACAGTGTGTCTCTGGAACTCTATTGAAAACTTGCCTGTCCTTGTTCATGTGGCCTGCAGTGCCTCCTAGGTTAAACATAAATGTCCACATATGCATAGATTTTTTGGGGGGGTAGGGTTGGGTACAGGCATCTGTTCTGAGTTACCTTGATTCCTATAGCTTTAAAATAAATCTTGATACCTGGTAGATGTTTTTCCCCCTAAGAATGCCTTGCATATTCTTGGCCCTTTATATTTCCACAGATTTTGATTGGGATTAAATTGAATGTATAAATCACTTTGAGAAAAATTAATCTTTACCTTATTGAAACTATGTGATCATGATGTAAATCTCTCTTTATTTAAGGTCTTGTTTAAAGTCTTTCAATGATGTTTTATAATTAAATTTATTTCAGTGTTTCTTAGCATTTTTAATGTAATTTGTACATGAAGTTTTGTTTTGTTTATTTGGTATTGGGGATTGAACTCAGGGGGGGCAGTTTACTATCAAACTTGAGATCCTTCTGCCTTAGCCTCCTGAGTAACAAGTGTTACAGGTGTATGCCACAATGCCTGACTGCTCATCATGTTTTATTTCATTTTTTATCTTTCTATTGTTGATATAAGGAGATATGATTATTTTTATATACTGATTATATCTAGCAATTGATTCTGATAATTTATCATTTTTGTGTTCTCTGCATGTGCTACCATTGCATTTGCAAATAACAGCTTTTAATTGTCCAATTCTTTTACCCTTTTATTATTTTTCTTATTTTACTATACCATCTTGCTTCTGCAGCAAAATGCTTAGCAGAAGTGGTACCATCAAGTGTTTCTCCTGTGTTCTTAATCTGAAAGTGACTGCTTTCATGTTATTTGCATAGAATTTTTTAAGAGTTACCTTTTATTGGAGTTATCCTCTACTTTTAGTTTGCTGAGAGGTTCTGTTTGTTTGCTTTTTTTTGTTTGTTTGTTTGCTTTTTTAATCACAAGTTAATGTTGAACTTTATCAAATATTTGCCCTGTATGTTTTAAAAGTGTAATGTGCTTTTTAAAATTTTAATCTATTAATGTGGTTAATTTCACTGGTTATTATTTTTTTTTATATTAAAAAGTACCTTGCATTCCTGTGATAGACCAAACTTTCTATTTGTATCTTTGCTTATAAGCAAGAGTGACCTACAATCATCCTTTCCAAGGTACTAAGGTTATGCTATCATTAAAATGATCTAGGGAATTAAACCTTTTCCTACTCTCTAGAGCAAGGTTTACATAATAATTAAAATTATTTATTTACTGAATGTTTGATAGAACTTGCTTGTGATGTCACCTAGACTTGAAGTTTTCTTTATAGGTTGATTACATATATATATATATGTGTAATTCACACATATATGCCTTTTTAAATTTCATAACATTGTTCATAATACCATCTCTTATCTTGATCTTGCTACGGTTTGCCAATTTTGTGAGTCTTTTCAAGGAATTCATTTTTTTTTTTAAAAATATTTTTTTAGTTGTAGTTGGACACAATACCTTTATTTTATTCATTTATTTTTATGTGGTGCCGAGAATAGAACCCAACGCCTTGCACGTGTTAGGCAAGAGCTCTACTGCTGAGCCACAACCCCAGCCCCTCAAAGAATCCATTTTTGACTTAGATCCTCTGTTACCTGTTTGTTTTTTATGTCATCAATTTCTACTCTTTATGCTTTTATTTCTGTTTTTAAGATGTATTTTATTACTCTTTTTTTTTTAACTTCTTGAGCATATGCTTAACTCAGTAGTTTCAGCTTCTCTTTTTTTTTTTTCTTATTGTATTTTAGACATGATCTTGTTACATTACTCAGGCTGGCCTTGAAATCTGTATTCTCCTGCCTCAGTTTTCTGAGTAGCTGGGATTACAGGTACACATCACCAGCCCAGCTCAGCCTTTTTCTAACACATTCATTTAGGGATATACGTTTCTGTTTGTAAGTTCTGCATCCAGTAAATTTTTTTATATAGTGTTTTCATTGTGTTCTCAATTTTTCAGGTTTTCATTATGGTTTTTCTTTTGAGTCATACTTTATTGACACTAATTCCAGAATAGATTTTGCATAATGGTTTAGGATTTTATAGCTTATTTTATTGCATTATTTTCAATGTTTATACTGCTGCTGAGTATTTGGGTGATTCTCCCCCACAATATTTAGCAAATATATAGAGAAACAAATAAAATTTATCCTTGCATATGTTTTTGTATTATACAGAATTTGCTGGTTGTAGTACATTTCTCTGCTCAATTTCCAAATATTTTTTTATAATTAAGTTAATATTTATTTTATTTTTCTTTATATTAGCTGTGTTGGAGTAGAAGAACATCATGCTGTTGACATTGACCTGTATCACTGTCCCAACTGTGCAGTACTACATGGTTCCTCCTTGAGTAAGTACTGGATGCTTGAAAAATTGATATTTTGAAAACATGTGTGTGATAATGCTTTAATGATATTCTGATTAATTACATTATACCCACTAAGAATTATAGGGAAGATTTCACTGAAGATATTTAGAATGTAGTTTTTGTCTGAATTTAAAATAACTTATTAAGTAAGTCAAAAGAATAAGGGAAAAATACTAGTATTTTAAATTGTCAGTTCAGATGCTTCCAAAGAACAAATTGTAATATTAATTGTCACTGTAAAAATATGAGAGAAAATATAAACATTTCTTTAAAATTTTGGCTTGCAAACTAGTGTTTCTGTTCACAAAATTTAAAGGGAAACTGTAGGTTTTGTCATTTTAAAACTAAAAGTCATCTTTGCCTGAAGATACCTTGTTATAGAAGTGGGTGGGATGTAGGTAATGTACCACTTTTTTACTTTATCCTAGTACTTTAAAAAAAAAAAAGAATAGAGGGCTGGGGTTGTGGCTCAGCAGTAGAGCACTCACCTAGTACATGCGAGGCCCTGGGTTCGATCCTCAGCACCACATAAAAATAAATAAATAAAATAAAGGTATTGTGTACAACTAAAAAAAAAAAAAAAATAGAAATGTTGCTCTGAAGTTATTGAAAATAGATTACTAGCAAGTGACTGCTCATCTATCTGTTTTGTTAGAAATATTAGTAGTTTTTCTAACAGTTTCTTTGTAAGAGAATTAGAAATTTAGACTATGAGTGCGTTGAAGTATTTTTGTAGGAAACACAGGTTATTTAATTTGTTAGTTACACAGTATAAACCTTAAGGTTAATAAACTGGTAGGATTGTTACATGTCTAATTGAGTAGTTTGTTGTCCTAGATGTTTTTAAAGGATTTTACTCTGTAGCACTGAAGTATATGGTATACAATTTGAAATAATTGTTGCCTAAGAATAATTCTTGGAGGAAGTAAACAATACAATGTTGTTATCTCAGGACAAAAAGAACTAACAATTTTAGTTTAGAATTTAAGTATATAATCCTAAAATGAAATAATTTTAATTTATGTGAAATATTGAGTTACTACTTAGAGGCAGAAAAATGTACTACTACATGTGATGCACTCTATTTTCTACTTTCGCTGTGTGATTTCATCTTTTAAAAAACTTGTCAAACTCACTAAATTGATTATATAGTCCATAATGGATTATGACCTGCACTTTGAATAATGATGCTTTAGAGAGTAGCTTGCTTATTATGTGGCCCTTGGGGTGCTTCTCATTCTTGAAGAACATAAGATTAGGCATTGGCTATCTTCTGGGCAGAGGTCCAGCTCTGAATACTCAGAGGGAAAATGCCCAAGATTCAATAATCTATTTTGTCTTGATTTAAAGCTCACCTTCTCCCAGCCCTCATTACTTTTGATTTCTTTCCCTCTGCTATTAAACCTCTTTTGCTTGCTACCCAGGGTTTCCTAATTCTTTCAGAGTTCCCCAGAAATCTTTATTATAGATACCATTTAGACAACATAATACTCATTTAATATGATAATTTTAGACTTTACCCTCTGGGAATTGAGGATGTTATTTGAGGGTAAGTCTCAGAAAACAGCTTGGCACTTTAACCTATATTCTTTGTGTTCCTCAGGCACAGGTAATCCAAACATAGAAGTTTTTCATCTTTCCCTGTGATACTACTAAAATGTTCCTTTTATTGTCCTCTCAGCCAGCCTTTATAGTGGCTGATTTTATGTTTTAAGCATGTTGGTTCAATAGGACAATTGTATCCTTCTGTTAAATCTCCTAAAGTCAGCACATTTAAAGAAATGATAGTAACTGCTTATTATATACCAGGGTATGACAGTGGGTAAGTACTTGATCTATGTTCCCCTTCGATATTTATAACAATTTGATAAGAGATATAGGAAAAATTAGTAAGTAGCTCTCATATATACCTGTTTGATAGAGCTAGAGTATGAACCCTTAGCTGTCAAATACCAAAGCCAGTGTACTTCATTGATTACTCTGCAAAAATGAAATTAAAAAAGTGCATTATCATTGTTCACTTATCAAATGGGCAGCTTTTTTTTTTCTTTCTTTTTGTTTTTAAATGATGATCCTCATTGTTAACGGTAAGCTTTGAGCCATACTGTACTGGTAGGAATGCAAGTTTCTAATACTTTTCTGGAGGCAGTTTTGTAGTATGTAGCAAGCATCTCAAAAATTATGATCTTCCTTCCAGCAATTCTAGAAATAAACCCTAAGAAATTAATTAGGGGAACAGATTAATATGTCTGAATACTAACCATAATTTTGTTTGAAGAAAGATTCAGGGTGAACTAAGTGCTTAAGAACAACAAATAATTATAACACGATACATTCATGTCTTAAAATTCTAGACTGCCTTTAGATTGCTTTTGAATATTTAATAAGGAGAAAATGCTCATGACTTAAGAGAGGTAAGCAGGATAAACATTGTCATCCCACTTGAAAATAAATGGAACTACATATCAGTGTTTAGTAGGGGGAAAAAAACCTGGAATGAAATGCCTTTGAATTTTAGGAGTGGTTTTAAGTGAGGTAGAAAATAACATACAAAGGATCCCTCCATGGAATATTCTAGGAAGATTCCTCTGTGATTCTAAATTTTTCTTGTGAGATTTTTTTAAAAATGGAATTTACTCTCTTCCATATTGGAGATCTGGTTGCAATAAGTTATTTTGGAATTTTGTTTCAGACTCTATTTCCACTCCTATTATTTGATGTGATCCTCTTTATCCAAATGAAGATCAAGTATTATTGTCTTATTATGATCTTGGTAAGGTGAAAGGTAAAATACCTTGGTATCATAGAGTTGTTTTTTTCCCCTTACATTTTGTTATGAAAATGTTCAAACACAGAAAAAGCTGAAGTAATTTTACAACATCTCCCTATAAATCTTCACCAGCTGGGTTCTACTATTAACATTTACATCACTTGCTTTACCACTTATCTCTTTATGCAACCATCCCACTTTGTATTCATCTTTTTTCTTTTTGATGAATTTCTGAATAAGTTGCAAACATCAGTACATTTGCCAGAATCATGGGGGTTTTATACATAAGAGTGACTTTCAAGCTTAAAAAAAAAAAGATTTAAAACTGAAATTTTACATTGATAACACACAAAAGAGTTGTAAGTGGCACCATTGTGGTGGAAAGAGGAATGAGGTCCAGAGCTTCTCCCTTGGCTTTTTTCTACTTCCCTCTTTGTGAAGAGATCCTCACAGGTTGAAAATCAGCACTCTAACCTATCCCTTTTCACTATCATGAGAAATCTGGATCCATAGATGTTAAGTAACTTGCCCAAGGTTGCAAGAGGAATAGAAAAGAATCAAATACTAGTCTCCTGATTTTAATTGTTATGCCTACTCAAGATTGAGTCAGAGCTGTAGAATCATAGGCTCTTAGCATTGGAACTAATCATAAAGTTGTTTATTTTGTCATACCAACTGTCTCGCTTTAATTACCACTCAGTTTTTCATGTCAGGGTAAATGTGCTTATTTGGGAGTAAATCTTAAAAGAAATCATACTGTTAAAAGATATTTCTGATGTGGGATAAAAGACCCTATTCTGAGAAGATAATTTAGATGATCTGGATAATTATGTTATGAACTAATATTCCAGTGAAAATCATAATTTAAAATTATTTGGAAATATTCTGGTATGGGTAAATGTAGATATTGTAAAAGGTTTCATTTGCTGATTTGAATTCTTTGGTTTAATTTTTAAATTATTTTGAAATAAAAAAGTAAGTTTTAAAATCTACACTTAATTGTCTATAAGGGCAACATTAGATTAAGTAAAATTTACTTCTGTGTCCTGGAAATGCATTTAAAATTTGAGAGTTTATAGTACTTAGTTATTATTTCTGATTAATGTAGACTACAATAATGAGAAAGTATATAGTATTACCAGTTACCAAAAGTATGTTCTTTTTTTAACTTTCTAAAACTTTAGTGAAAAAGAGGAGAAACTGGCACAGGCATGACTATACAGAAGTTGATGATGGTTCCAAACCAGTGCAAGCTGGAACTAGGACTTTTGTTAAGGAATTACGATCTCGAGTCTTCCCAAGGTATGGAAAACTTGCTCTGATTAAACAAAATGTAAGAATGTTGGCTGATAAAGTGACATTATGTAAAGTGTTTTCTTTCTTTTTTTTTTTTTTAATATTTTTTAGTTGTCAATGGATCTTTTATTTTATTTGTTTATTTCTATGTGGTGGTGTGGATCAAACCATGGTCTCACGCGTACCAGGCAAGTGCTGTACCACTGAGCTACAACTGCAGCCCTAATGTAGTGTTTTCTTTCTTTCTTTCTTTTTTGGTATTGGGGATTGAACTCAGGGGCATTCAACCACTGAGCCACTGAGCCACATCTCCAGCCCTGTTTTGTATTTTTTAAATTTAGAGACAGGCTCACTGAGTTGTTTAGCACCTCACTTTTGCTGAGGCTGGCTTTGAACTCAGGATCCTCCTGCCTCAGCCTCCTGAGCTGCTGGAATAGTATTTACAAAAGTGTGTTCTTTTTTTAATTTTCTAAAACTTTAGTGAAAAAGAAGGTGTGCGCCACTGCGGCTGGCTAAAGTAGTATTTTTAAACTTTGGACTACTTAATATGTTATTGTTCTCAACGGGCTTTTCATTTTATTTCTTAATGAAATAGGATAGAAAATATTTGTACATTTAATGTAATGGGAGTAAGTAAGCATAGTTTCATGAAACTTTTGTTATATGTATCTACATAGTGCAGCACCATGTAAAAATACAGTTCTTAATTGTGGGTCACAGTTCAAAAACTTTGAAATATAGTGATTGAAGCACTTGTTTCCAGTATTTGTTTCTACCAGGTATGCAGCTGCTGCTTCTCTTTTTCTTTGACCTAACCTTCACTCCTTTCCAACTCTTTTTTCCCCTTGTCTTGTTTTCAATATCTGTCTCTGCCCTAGGATCTCCAAAAGAATGCACAATTATTGCTTAGCTTCTGATGGCAGCAGGACTGAGCTTTTTGATTTTTAAAAATAATGGAATGTATTTGAGTTGTCTGTGAAAGAGAGTCAAAAGCATTATAAAGCATTTAATCATGCTAATTTAGATCATTTCCTCCTCACTGCCTGACATCTATTTAAAGTGATAATGCTTAATGGGCTTTTATACAAGATCATATCCAGGCTTGTTAAAGAGGGGAAGCACAATTTAAATTTAAATCACAGTATCACATGCAGTCTATAATGGAATTGATTCAGATTATGAAATGAAAAAAGAAAACTGCTATTTTTCTTCAATCTTTAGGATTCCTATCTGTCCCTCTGCCTCATAATCCTTAAACAGAAACATATACTAGTAAGTATTCATGTTGGCTTTATCAGATCTGTTGAGAGACAGAAACAGAAAGAAAACATATGAAACATAATGTTTCCACATGATTTTTGTTATATATACAGTTTAGTGCCAGTGTGTGAGTGTGCATTTTTCAGGCATAAGAGCCATCCACGCCTCTACTTTTTTCACATAGATTTGTGACCCCCTAAAAAGTAGTATTTAAAACATTGGCCTAATAATTTGCATGGTTTTTCTGCAAAAAATGAACACAAATTAGAACAGGTTAGAGATTGCACAAATGTCCAAATTGTAATTATCAATAATTAAAGGTTTTGGTTTCATTTTATTTAATTCCATGAATTTTTGCATTATTTAAAACCATGTTAATAGAGTAACAATAATTACTAAATCAAACATTTGATATAGTTAACACAGAAGTATATAAAACTAAGTGAATAGGCTTTCTATCCCCTCCCTATTTTACTATGTAGTATCTTTAAAGATATTTTTCTATATAAACAATAACATTTAAAACATTATGTGTAAACATATATTGATGCATATAATTTTTTTAAAATTTATTTTTTAGTTGTAGTTGGACTCAATTCCTTTATTTTATTTATGTGGTGCTGAGGATTGAACCCAGGGCCTTGAACGTGCTAGGCGAGTGCTCTACTGCTGAGCCACAACACCAGCCCCCAGATAATTTTTTAAAAATTAAGTTATGCATAGTGTTGTATAACTTGACTTTTTTGCTCTATTTCATAGATATTCTTCCATATGTATACACAGATTTATTACACTCCTTAACTGCAGTAGTGTATACATACCATAATTTGTTTAACATCCCCATGTGATATATATTTAAATTTGTCTCCAGTTGTTTTCCTCTTGCAAATAATGTATCTGTATTTTAGTACTGGTATATATATATTTTCTTGATCAATAGGGGAAGTAAACCACTAAACATTTGAGATCAAGGAACATAGATGATTTAAAATTCTCTCTTAGTTTGGCATTTAAGGAATTATTTAATCCTCAGAGGGTGGGGGAAGGAGGGATAATTATGGATGCTTTTTGGGGAAACTAAAAGATGGGGACAGAACTCAAGATCAGTAGGTGAGTCAGATGAAGAAAACCTAAATTCCTAAATGTGAGACTAGGAAATGGCTGTCTCGGTTTTCAAACTGCTCTTTCCTTATTAAGAGGGTGGGAAGATCAGAGCCCAGTAATTCAGAGAACCAGCTCCTATCCACCTGAGTTACAGATAAATACTTAAGCTCTGATTGGATAAATGGAAATTGTTGTGTTTTAACCTGTAAGGCAAGTTTTACAATTATTTTTGTATGGCAGCTGCATACTGGATTTCTTTGGAATTATGATTGGGTAGATCATCAGAGAGGGCCGCCTGAGTTCAACAAGTTTTAGTGAATTAAGTGACTTCTAGTATTAAAATTTGTTTAATACTGGTTGTAACATATCATTTAAATTGGTAACTCTTATTGAGGGCATTTGGGGAACTTGTCTCAATGTCATATATACATATAATTAATTGTTCTATGTCCCTTTGAAGTGTCTGACAAATATTTGTGTAGATAAAATCTAATCTGTTTTTACTAACACTATTTTTTTTAAATTAAAAATTATACCCTTTATTGCTCTTTTTATTTTCTGCACAGCTTGTATTGTGTGACTTTTGATCTTTAATTTCTCCTAAACTCAGTCCTTCATTACACCTAATTTTAAATATCCTACTATTTTATTATGTATTCTAGTACAATTTACCTGAACATTTACATATTGAAATACATATTTTACTATAAGCTAGTTTTTTTTCTTTTTATAGTTAGAGCACCTTATGTTTTTCTAATTCTTTTGTATTGAATTAAATAGATTATATTATCTATGAATTTTCCTTTAGACAAAAGGGGTTTTATAAAACATTTGTTATTAAGAGAATTAGGTATGATAGGTTGAGAACCACTAATGCAGATAATTATGCAATTTATAAAATAATCCATTACCATAGTATTGTTTTAAAACTGAAATTAACAATAAAAACTACATTTTATTCTTATGTTTTTCTTAGTGCCGATGATATCATTGTAAAGATGCATGGCAACCAGCTGACACAAAGATACCTGGAAAAACATGGATTTGATGTCCCTATTATGGTCTCTAAATTAGATGATCTAGGACTCAGGCTCCCACCACCTGCTTTTTCTGTGATGGATGTGGAACGTTATGTAGGTACGAACTTGGTTCCTTTAAGTACTTGGCAAAACATGGTGAAAGTAAAAATGGAAGTGTCTTAACAGTATTAAAATTGAATGAAGAAATGTCAGTTTACTTCATTTTCCTGGGTCAGGAAAAGTAAAACTAAGTGTTAACCTTTGTTGAAAACTGCTTTTCTCAGCTGATCTGAAATAATGGTCAGAAAAAGAGGGAAAGGTTTTACCTATTCTTATTTACTCAGCTTCATCCTGCTGTTCTGTGATACTTGCTTAGGGAAAACTGTGACTGAGGGGCTGCTGAAGATGCCAAGAATACATGGAGAAACTGGATTGGGACTGAGCCTCTGTAGAATGCAGATGCAGAATTCCTAGAGCTCGTGTGACAACTAGTTTTTTGGAACTTGCTTAGTGACTTGTTGCCTGGAGGAAAGGCTGTAAAAAGAGATTATATTTAGACCTGATTGTATATTTAATAACTTGGTGAATACTGCCATTTAATAACATCTGAATTTAATTTGTGATTTTTGATGCTCAGAAAGTAAAAAGAAACAAGGGCCAAAGCTCTTTACTGATTGCTGTATTATTGACATTTTCAGTCATTTCATTTATTCTCCTCATGTTATCTGTAGATAAGGCTGACTGTATGTATGTGCCATTCCTTGTTAGGAGTAGAAAGATATTATTTGAGGATTACATCTCAGATCTACTTTGACTTAAAATTATATGTCCACTAAAATACATTATCTCTTCAGCTTGGAATGTAGAAGAACTTGTCCCTTTATTGAACTATTGGTTAACAATTCTCATGGATGATTGTTTTATTAAGGAAATCCATTTAATGTCATAACTTCACATTCAGCTAAATTTGAATTTGATAAATTAGCGGATGAGGCTGACATTTAACTTAAACCTGTTTGCGTAGATAGCACTGTGATATAATGACTAATGTAATGTAAGTATAGGATAAAACTGCTTGGACTGCTAACTTTTCAGTACTGCAAAGCACCTTGGTTGAAATACTAGTAATGTAACTATATTACATCCTGAAGACTAATCTATGAGGCAGTGTTATTAACCTGTGTGAAATTAGACTGAGAAAATGGCATTTATTAGTTTTCTGTTCAGATTGGTTAAATATTGCCATATTTTGAATTCCACCTATTCATTAGTCCATTATATAACTGATTATACTTTCTAGGGTGGTAATGCAAGCTATCATGTCATGGTTTTATAGGAAAATTGTGAATTAATCGTAACTCAGAACTTGGGCATTCAGACAGGCACTGAATGAACTGATTTTTCCTTCCTAACCACCAATTTTTTTCTTGAGAGTTAAGAGAAAACACTACCAGGAGAGCAGATATTTCCTGTTCAAACCTCCAGGTGTGGTTTTATACATACCTATAAATAAAACTCCCCAGGTTTATACATACCTATAAATCCCTGCAGCTCAGGAGGCTGAGACAGGAGATTCACAGGTTTTAAGCCAGCCTCAGCAATTTAGGCTGTAAGCAACCTAGTGAAACTGTCTCAAAATAAAAAATAAAAGGGCTGGGGATGTGGCTTAGTGGTAAAGCGCCCTTGGGTTCAGTCCCTGCTACCAACAAACAGATAAACAAAACCCAGAAATTGTTCTAGTCAACTTGCTCACTAATTTCCCAACGATTGATTGGGTTTTCAAATTGATAGAATTTTAGGTGTTACAGAAGTTAAAAATAAAAGCCAATTCTTTGATTTTATGCATGAGGAAATTGAAACTCAGAAAGTATTAGACAATTTTCACATCCCAATACAATGTATTTTTTTGCCTTTATGAGTTACAAGCAATCATTGATACATAGAAAGTTTTGTAAGCCCTGTAAGTTTTTACACTCAGTATTCATTTTGCAGCACTTTGTTATTGTTTTATAATACATTATCTCTTCTTTTCAAAATGTCCATTTGGACTTAAAAAGTAAGAATATAAGAAGTATCCTTTGCCTAAGATATATAGTTTTATGGTTGGCTTAATTATCATACCAAACAAATGCAGTCTTTAAACTATTTTTGTTTAGGGCATCTATTGATGTAACTCTTAAGCCCAATAATAAGATTCTAATTTTTCTCTGCAGGTGGTGACAAAGTGATAGATGTCATTGATGTGGCAAGGCAAGCAGACAGCAAAATGACACTTCACAATTATGTTAAATACTTCATGAATCCTAACAGACCAAAAGTGTTAAATGTGATCAGCCTTGAATTTTCAGATACAAAGTGAGTAATTTTGGGCATTTTGATATGGCATTCTGAGTGTTAGCTAAATGTAGTTTAATAATATATTTATTTTAGTAAGAAACATGATTGTGACTTGTAAATTTGTCCACTAGTAGTAATATTACATCTTTTGCTTTGGCACCCTCAGAGAATATTTGGACATAATGTGTTTTAAACTTTTAATTAAGTGTTTTTAACCTTGAATTCCAGTTAATTACTTGGTTTGGGTTAACATGGGAGCAGTGGTTTTTAAGAAGTTTTAATTTGTTTTATGTGGGGGTATGTGTATGTACTTTTAAAAATTATTATTTTTAAAGGATGTCTGAATTGGTGGAGGTCCCTGATATAGCCAGAAAACTTTCCTGGGTTGAAAATTATTGGCCAGATGATTCAGTCTTTCCCAAGCCATTTGTTCAGAAATACTGTTTAATGGGAGTTCAAGACAGCTATACAGATTTCCACATTGACTTCGGTGGAACTTCAGTCTGGTACCATGTCCTCTGGGTAAGACTAGGATTTTTTTTTTTGTCCTTTTATTGACAAAAACACTTAGTAATATTTTTCTGGTGGCACATTCAGTTACTATAAATAACATTTGTACAGTGGAATATTTTTCTACTTTTTAAGTGGAATCTATCTATTTGTTGTTAAAAGATGTGATTTTTTTTTTAATCCCAAGTAGTCAAGTTTTTTATATATATTTAGGTTCCTTTTTTTTATTTAAGATGTCGATGAACCTTTATTTTGTTCATTTATTTATATGCGGTGCTGAGAATTGAACCCAATGCCTCACACATGCTAGGTAAGCGCTCTGCCACTGAGCCACAACCCCAGCCCACTAGATTCCTTTTGTACCTCCACTTTTAAGTTGGTTTCTGTTAACCTTCTGCCCTCTCTCCCGCTTATCAATTATTCATTAATCCCTGAACAGATATCTAAGGAGCAAAATTATAGTTATGATTGCTTCTGACTTTAAGGTGGGGGTAGGAAAGCTGGTTGGATAAGTCACATATGCCTATAAAAATGCTAATTCTACATAGTTTATATTCACTTTGCTCTATTTAGAACTGCACTGCTTAATATAGTATTTACTAGCCACATGTGACTAAATTTAGTTAAATATTAGTTAAAAAATTAATTAAATAATTAAAAATTCAGCTCATTTTTATACTTGCCACATTTTAGGTGCTCAGTAGCCACATGTGGCTAGGGACTACTGTACTGGATAGCATAGATATAAAAATGTTCCATTGGTACAGGAAGGTCTATTGGAGAGCGCTGATCTAGAACCAGATTTTTCATCTCCATCAAATGCCTCTGTATTGGCAGTGCTTTGGTCTGTATTTGATGCTGTGTTCTTAAGCTCCTATTCCTTTTCTCCTTGAGGACACAGAATTCAGTAAGGGAAATTTATTTCCAGATCTTTAAAAATATTCATTATGTTATAGATCTTAGGAGAAAGGACAGAATTTGAAAGGTGATTGTGCTGTGACCTGGACCCTATTAACATTTCTACACCTTAAAAATGGGAGGTCATGGACCAGGGATGTAGCTCAGTGGTAGAGTTTTTGCCTAGCATACCTGAGGCCCTGAGTTTGATCCCTGGCATGACAATAAAAGTGCAGGGGTGCGGTGGGCATCAGTGGGTGTTGAGAACAGATGAGCCCCCATCATCAGCTGATCCTATGGTGTTGGCAAAGACAAGCCTGGGAAACATTCCTTGCCAGAGGCAAGGATGTTATCAGCCTAGCTCTGATGCTAACATTTATCAGACATCCCAGGACAATAGGTATCCTGGGTACAGCAGGATAATGGCAGAATGTTCTTAGCACTGCAGCAATAGTATAGCTGTTGCAAAATGTTTCTAGCTCTGGAACTTTTTAAGGCACAAAGAAGCCTCTGACAGCTTACCACCCTTGAACAATTTACAGTGCCCCTATAGTTTAACTTTCTGATTATGAGATCTATATAATAAACTTTTAGAACTATTCTGGGTCACTGCTACTCCATCAGAATGCAGTTTTCCCACCTGGCCCCCAGCTTTTTTAGTGAAATTATCTTTGTGTCTTCTTTGTCTCTGTGTTTTTTTCTTCATCTCCCATTGTCCCTACTTGAGAATCCTTCATTGACGCTGTGGGTTGCAGCAAGTGGGATTTTTTTTGGTTTATTACCTTCTTTTCTTCAATTTGATTATTGACTCCTGATTAGTTTGGGGGTAGGGGGAGCTTTAGCTCCAGTGAAAATGCTTATTAAGGGAATTAACTATTGATCAGGTGTGTGACATAGATATTTTGGACCTAAACAATCTGATAATTATCTAATTTAACTCAGATCATTGTATTGGGAAATTGTATCAGTTAGGCCATCCTAAAATGATTTGTTTTTTCCAAAATTATATGTTACTTCCTTTTAGGGTGAGAAGATTTTTTATTTGATAAAGCCAACAAATGAAAATTTGGCACTCTATGAATCTTGGAGTTCATCTGTGACCCAGAGTGAAGTATTCTTTGGAGATAAAGTGGATAAATGCTATAAATGTGTGGTAAAGCAGGGGCATACCTTATTTGTTCCTACAGGTAAGGTTTTAATCCCACCCCCTACTATTAATAGTTGATACAAGCTACATCTTGTAATTAGGACCTATGACTTTTCCATATTTGCCTAAGAAATAATTCTGATCTTGGGCTTTTTACTTCTTTGTGTTTTAGCGGGCTTGTTAGGGTTCCTTTTGGCATCATTTCATTTGCCTTCACTTTTAGTATCATTGAAATAAAAATCACATGGTATATCACTTTCATCCTTTTAAAGTATATAATTCAGTGGATTTTAGTTGATTAATAAGGCTGCATAACTATCAACACTATCTAATTCTAGAACATTTTCATTATGTCAGAAAGAAACCACATACCCTTTAGCAGTCTTCCCATTTCCCCCTTCCCTGAGAGGAAAGACAACTATTAATGTACTTTCTGTCTCTCTTGATTTGCTATTCTGGACACTTTATGAATGTGGCATTTTGTGTCCATCTTCTTTGCTTTACCATAATATTTTCTAGGCTTATCCATGCTATACCACATATAAGTACTTTATCTTTTTTTTCCCCCCTTTCCATGTCTCCCCATTCACAACACCAACCAGACACAGGTCCTGGGCTGAGTTGTACATGGGGTAGGCTTACTCTGCCTCCTCTTTGTATATACAAACCCAGCCTGTGGTAAGCATCAGGAGGCCATAAGTACTTTATCTTTTTGTGGCCCAACAATATTCCACTGTAGGGTATACCATATTTTATTTATCCATTCATCAGTTGATGGACATTTGGGTTGCTTCCACTTTGGGCTATTCTGAATAGTGTTGCCTTAAACATTTGTGTGCAAGTTTTTATGTGGCGGTATGTTCATTTCTCTTAGGTGTATACCTAGCAGTGGAATTGTTGCACTGGTGGTTTCCCTGTTTAACTTTTTGAGGAACAGCCTAGCTATCCTCCAAATAACTGTGCTTTATAAAACAAACAAACAAAAAACTGAGAAAGTATAGGTATCAGCGTGTCAATCTGAGATGTGAATGAATGGCAGTGTATAAACTCACCAGACCAATGGTTTTGACGACAGTGTTCCTTTGGTTGGGTGACCTCAATGGCTATAAACTTCACAGGGTTCTGTTACCATAGGGCTGCTTTTTACCTTATCTCTGGTATGTATAATCATAAATGTGTGCTTAAATAAGTGAATGAATCAATGACCAAAACCACCATGATTTGCCTGGTTAAGTATCAGTATTTCATTATGAATTACTAAGCTCTTCCTTGCTTCTTTTTATAGTAAATATTTTGTTGTACCCCCTTCAAAATCTTAAATTGAAATTTATAGATAATATAACTTACATGAATCATTGTTTTAAAAGTTGACTTAATAACCTAACTAGAATATAAGGAAGAAATGAAAAGGTAATTTTATAATGAAATGTTATTTTGATATTTGTGTGCACAGCAGCAATAGAGGACAGAATGAATTGGTTAACTGTGTAAGTCAGCAAACCAGTATAGATACTTGCTAATGGCAACTCAAATTCTGTTAGTGGCATGAGTAGAAGTTAGTAGTTTTCAAATTTTATGGAATAACAGGATCACCTGGAGGGCTTGTCCACCAGATTGCTGGCCTCCTTCCCCAAAATTCTGATTTAGTCGATTTGGGGTGGGCCTGAGAATTTGTTTCTAACAAGTACTCAACTGATGCTGGTGTCTGGTCTGGGGACCACATTTGGAGAAACACTGCTATAGGCAATGTGATGTTTCTTTCCAGAGTAGTTGGCAACTGATACATTTCTATACAAACTAAACTATAGTTTCCTTCAATTTACAGAGTAGTTATATTCCTGGAAATTGTGCCCAAACCACTCAGAAATACATTGTTTAGATGTATAATGAAGTTCTATTTTCTATGCTCAGGTTGTGAATGAACAGGCTTTGTACCTATATGAAGGCCCAGTGGAGTTTATATTTCTTTTTTTATTCTCCTGTTTTTTTTTGTTGGTGCATTATAATTATACATAATAGTGGGCTTTGTCGTTACATATTTATACTGAAATTTATACTTCTGTACTGAAAGACTGTTAAGTATTTTAGCATTTCTTTCAGAAGTTAGGCTATCATCTCTTGAAATGATTCTCACTTTGAAAACATTTTAATGAGAAAATGAAACATTTTGATTGCCAACATTTATATTTATAGGACCATGTCTCTCCATAATTAAATGTGTGTGGGGGTAGGGCTGCAGTTATAGCTCAGTGGTAGAGCACTTGCCTAGAAAGTGTGAGGCCCTGGGTTTGATCCTTGGCACCACCTAAAAATAAATAAATAAAATAAAGGTATTGTGTCTGTCTCCAACTAAAAAAATATTTAAAAAAATAATAATTAAATGTGGGTGATCTGCCTTTTCTTTCTTACAGAGTCTGGTCTTATTGGGTTCCTCGATCCTCCTCTGTTTGTTTCCTTCAGGACATTCAGTTCAGTGTGACACCAGAGAAGCAGAATGTTCAGCCAGCCCCCATGTTTTTTAATGACAAATGTGCTTTCCTAATTTTAAAGCACATTTGACTTGTCTCTGTAAAATCTTTGATCTTAGACAAATGCTAAGGATTATATTTTTAAACTAAAACAGTTATCACCAAAACCCTTCACTTTATTCCTCAAACTCAGCATAGAATTCTGGCATATTATAGGCATTTAATATTTAATTGAATGCCTCAATCATTAATTTCTTTAGCACTGGAGTATGAAGGAAAGAGATGTTGATATTTGAGTTACTTATTTCTCAGGTAGATAGCATACCTATTTTGTTTTGCATGTTTTGAGGTAGTTGGGATCAAACCTAGAGCCTCACACATGCTAGGCAAACACACTACCACTGAACTACATCCTAGGACCCTTTTGAAATGTTGAGACTATGTTTTGTTAAGTTGCCCAGATTGAACTTAAACTTGTGATCCACTTGCTTCCTGATTAACTAGAGTTACAAGTCTGTGCCGTGGCAACCAGCTTGTTTGATTTTAAAATATTGAAAAGCATTAATTTATACGTTTGTAACCATTTCAGGGTGGATTCATGCTGTGCTCACTTCTCAGGACTGTATGGCTTTTGGGGGGAACTTTCTGCACAACCTTAACATTGGCATGCAGCTCAGGTTTGTGTCATTAATTTTGAAAGGATCTTTCATCGTTCCTTAAACAGGACATTTTTGTTTGCTTGTTTAAGAAAAATTGTGATATATTTTATTTGAGAGTCCATGGTGATAGACCTTGAGAAATCATTAGGAATAGAAATTTTTAACAAAACTATTATTTTAAAATTTTGTCAGGAGGATTCCTTGATACATTTCAAATCTAAAACAAAAATAATAACTTAATATCCCTCCAAATTAAAAAAAATTATAAATATTTGTATGTTCTTATTTGGCTATTTTTGCCCTAAGGTAAATGAATTAAGTTAGCCAGACTTACATGTAACTATTGATGCTGGAACAAACCAATTCTTAAGTTGATATTGCTGTCAGAACACCTGTTTTAGTTTTGCTTTGGATAAAGGATTAACAGCTATTGCCCTTCTGTATGAGAAGGACTAGACTATCTGCTATTCCCCATTTAGTCTAATGAGGGTAGAATGTTATGGTGTAACATTGCTTATGGTACAAATAATTCGTGATTGATAAAATGCATAAGGACTGGGAGAACTAGAAATTCTTGGTGTGAGGTTGTAGTTGTGGGCTTCACTGAATGTGGGAACTTGTAACTTTGCATGTGCACAGGGAACCCTGAATGCTCTGCACCTGTGGAGTTATTACAGAAGATAGTAGCTCTAAGAGGTCATGAGGCTTTAACCCAGAGTATGTCCCACACCTGTCAAATTTGGATTTGATCTCTTTGTACCTGAGCTGTCATTGGAGGAAATATGGCTTATATAGGGACAGCTGCATGGACTCCTACAGAAGACTCACAGTTATCATGGAAAACTGTGGTTCTTGTCTTTATACCTTAATCTAGTGCCAAATGTGGTCCCAATCTTGAATGCTTGGGTGGGTGCTGCAGTGTTGTCCAACACATGAAGCTAATTTTAAACGTACTATTTAATTCATAATGGTGGAACCCTCGTAAAGTATCTTTTATTAAAACTAGGATACAGATCTCAATGACCTTTCATGAAAGCCCAGTATAATTCTTAAGTACACCATCAAGTTTATGAAGGTCAGAACCTGGATAAGATCACAATTCAGTGTTGTTCAAATGTTACATTAAGTAATATACTATACTTGATTGGTATGTCTTATGTAACATGCCCTGCTTATTTTATTTTTAACTGGCTACCTTTAATTAACTATTTTGAAATACTAATATTAATACTAAATATTTCTTCAAATCTTATTTATTTAGGTGTTATGAGATGGAGAAAAGACTAAAAACACCAGATCTTTTCAAATTCCCTTTCTTTGAAGCCATATGTTGGTTTGTAGCCAAAAATTTGCTGGAAACCCTGAAAGGTAATTAATGATTTGTACACTTTGTTGTATAATATGATGTATAATGTTTGTAAATTCCCTCAAAGTTACCTGACAGATGCTTTTCTAGGGTCTGGATGTCACATCTGTTTGTTTGTTAAAACATAATGTCCCCCCTGCCAGGAACCTTAATAGCAAGTAGTTTCTAGTCCATAGCCTACTAACCCATGTTCTTAGAAATCAGGTATGTGAAGACCTGTTTAGAGTCACATGAGTAATATTGGAAAACATTCATTTCATCCAGTGATCTAGAGGCCTACACACATTCTCAAGCATGTTTAAGTGCCTTGCTTTAAAAATTTAGATGGTTACCTAATATGTGTTCCCAGACATTTGCTTTAAAAATATAAAGTGGATAATTTTCATGTCCTGAGGAAATCAGGTAATGCCTGAACCATCACCATTGCAACCATAATTCTGGCTAGTATAATTCACCTGTTAGCATACAAATGAGCTGATTGTTGGTTTGTAATCTGTAGTTGAAGAAAAATATTTTTTGAAATTTCCTTATGTAGCTTTGAATTTTTTTTGAAGGTAGATTTTAGATTTTCATGCTTTTATATTTGACTTAATCTTTGAGCAGCCAAGTTAAGATTGTATATTACTTCTATCCATTTTTTACTTTTCATATACTTGTGCCAGTGAGAATAGTGTTTGTCTAGTTTTGAGTTGCCTAACTTTTCTAATTTTGCAAATGGTGCAAATATTATAATTAACTTTCAGGAGAATAGATATAGAGAAAACAGTAAGATTTATCCAGAAATTTGTTTCTTTTCCATTTAGAAGACACGTAAGAAGAAAAGATAAGACGAAAAGAGATACCCAGGAAAAGCATGTACAGAAGTAAAATGATAAAATTCATGTATGATTTTTCCTCTTCAAAATAAGCCCCCTTTTTTTTTTGATTGAAAGGATAAAACAATGTCACCATACAGGACAGTCTTGAGGGAGATGTGATAGTGCTGTAGGGGTGTTTGATGGAGGTAGGGTCACTTGAATGAGAAGGACTAGGTCCTTCTTTATAAATCTAGCCCCTGCTTTAGAAATGAATCTTTATCCTAAATCCCAGAATCAGTGTTGTTTTCATGTATTGTTCTTGGCTGCAGGAATGTATCAGTGGGCCGTAGAGTTGTCATCTCCAGAATGTCCAGTTTCCAGTAAAAAATTGGACAGTGAACTTCAGTCTCTTATACAAGTGCATGCCTAGAAAACCAGAAGCATGTTTATAAAAACATTTATAAATGGTCTTATTTTCTAGAAATAAAATTCAACTACTGAACTCTCTAGTTAAGAGATTGGCAATTCACTTGGTCCAGAGTATTTTTTCCCATCTTTTCTTATTTTGACCCAGGACCCCAATTCCTGTCTTATGGTTATTTACGAGAAACGCCCCCACACATATACTTCCCTCCCACTGCCCCACCACCACTGGGGTCTTCCCTAGCCCCCAATGTGTAGGAGAGGCTCATCAGTTTCCCTTTTAGAATAAATTTAGAGTTTATCTGAGAGACAAAAGGTTGACTCCTTAAGGTGCAACAGCAATTTGCTCTGTCTTAGAAATAATAATTTAGTATCGTCTTAGGCCATCAAAAATTCAGAAATGAGGTCCAGTCAGAAGGATGGCCCTGTACATTAAGGACTTTAAAAAAGGATTCTGTAAATAAGAGTATTTGTAAGTTGCTTTAAAATTTTTTATCAGCCAGATCAGTAAGCCAGGATACTTAGCAATATAATTGTTTTAATCTAGTCCTACTAAGGCTAGAGCCAAATGACCATTCTAGCTGTTGCCATCATCCTAGGCATTTTTCCTGGAAACAGAAACAGAAATGGTAGTCTTTTTATCTCATGTTATGTTCTGCTCACTGAGTTTTCTACTTTTCCATTGTGGCCTGTTTGCCAATTATTAGACTGTTACAAAGCTTCTGCAGTGTGATGGGTTAAATGAATGAGGAGTATATGAAACTCATACATTGTGTGTTTCATGTTAATGATAATAAAAGAATGAACCAGTTTGAATTTATTTAAGTAAGTTAGCCACTGGGCAGAATTAAAATATTTTGCTTTTGATTCAACTCACCTGAATTTTGGAGCATATCTGAAATATTTTGCATGAGTTTTAGATAATCACACTCTGGTTTACAATTCCCCAAAAGACATTTGTGTGAGCTTATATTTTTACTTTGTCTGACAAATAGTAAAATAAACCATACACAGCTCACTGTATATAGATCACACAGAGACTACATATTCTCATCCAATTTAAAGAAGGCTGTTATTCAGGTAATTTCTCTGCAAGTGAAGCAAAAGCAGCAGTACCTTAAAAATACCCCATTAACCTCCCCATACATTGTCTTTCACTTTCTGGAGATAATCACTGTCTCACCTTTTGTGATAGTCTTTTTCTTCAATTTTTTCACCTGTGTTGTAAATGAAAATAGTTTGATTTTTATGTATTTGTAAATTTCATATGAATAGATTAAAACTTTTTCTATTATATGTAACCTGTCTTTTGCTAAGCTTTATTTGTGAGGTTCATTCATGTTATTGTGTGTAGCTGTAGTCTTCTTTTTTCATTACTATAGTATTATGTTGTGTGAATATACCTTAATTTGTGTGCTTCTTCTACACTTGTTGGACACTGGCAATACAGTTGTTTTAATCTAGTACTACTAAGGCTAGAGCCCAATGACCATTCTAGCTGTTGCCATTTTGTTGCCAGCCATTTTTTTTTTTTTTTCAGTTTTTGATATTTATGGAAGATGGTTCTAAGAAGTTCTTGTCAGTGTCAACTGAGTGCAAAAGTTATTCCAGAGAACAGCCCCAATTGTTGAGTCATAGATAGAATTCACATAGTTCCCAATTCCCATTTCCTTGGCAACACTTGGTATCATTAGTTTCTAATTTTTGCAAATCCATCAGGTGTGAAATAGTATTACTTGTCTTTTTAATTTGCATATTCCTGATTATTAATATAATTGAACATTTTTTATATATTTATTGGCGTTTTAGATTTCCTCTTCAGTGAAGTACCTGTTTAGGTCTTTTGCCAATATTTTAATTTAGTTTTTTAAATACTAGTTCTTCATATGTCCTGGATCTTAGTCCTTTCAGGAATATATGTTAAAAATACCTGCAATTTTGACTTACCTTTTTATTCTCTTTGGTGTCTGTTGAAGGACAAACTTTATTAATTTTAAAGCAGTATTTTTTCCCCAGTTTTTTTGTGATTAGTGCTTTTTGTGCCTTAAGAAGTTCTTTCCTATCCTGAGGTTTTGAAGATACTCTTTGCCTACTAAAAACTTATGTAGTTTCATGTTTTACATTTAGGCCTTTAACTCATTTTAATGATTTTCTTGAAAACGATGGCAGTCATTTTCTTACAAATACCCGTTTGTTCCAGGGTCATATTTTGAACAATCCATTTTTTATCCTATTCTTGTCTCATGTGTTGATATATGTGTGGAACCTTTGATACTCACTCATTACTCACGGTCTTAGCTTTTCTTTGCTGTAACCAAAATATGCAACAAGACAACTTAGAGGAGGAAGCATTTATTCTAGCTCATGGTTTCAGAGGTTTAGTACATGATTGGCCGACTCCATTGCTCTGGGCCCAAGATCATGCAGAACATCGTGGAAGGGCATGGTAGAGGGAAACTTTTCTGCTCTTGGCAGCCAGAAGCAGGTGAGGGATGGTGAGAAGAAGAAAGGGAGGGGAAACGGGACTCAGGAGAAGATGACCCCTGGTAACCCACCTCCTCTACCCATGACCCACCTGCCTATAGTTTACCACCTAATCAGTCCATTCAAACTAGGATGGCTGAATAGGTTGCAGCTCTCATAGTTCAATCATTTCAACTCTGAATATTCCTGCAACACAGGAGCTTTTGTGAGATACCTGATGTCCAAACCATAATAGTCACTCTTCTAATCTTGTGGGGTTGGTAGTCTGTCTCTCCACCAAGCACATTATCATATTAGCATTATATTAAGAATTGATTGATAGGTCCTCATACTTTATTCTTCAAGCCTTGGCCTCATTCTTTATTTTGCCCTGGCTTTTATTTTTCTTTTCCACATAAGTTTTTGAGTTAGTTTATTACTTATTGACACCAGTCTCCCCCACCCAAAAATCAAGCAAATAAAAGTGTTAGTATCTTAATTTGAGCATATTGAATATAGATCAATTTTGGTAAAATTCCATGTAGTTAGGTAATTGAATTTTCTCAAAAAATTGTCATGGAACATCTATTTAGTTCTTGTTTGTTATCTTGCAGGGTGTCATATATATATATATATTTTAAAACTTACACACAGGTATACGTATGTAATTATACATACGGTTGAGCATATGAAGTTGCTATTTTTGTATTTAAAAAATGGTCAAACATTGGCAATTTCATATAGTTCAGCTTATTAACCATATGATGCTAGAATATAGAAACAATTTTCATATTGATTTTGGATCCAGCAATCTTATTAGAAACTGTTACTTCATTTATCTGAGGTTATAGTGGGTTCTTTAATGTATAATCACATAGTCTTCTGTGAATAATGAGAATTGTGTTCCTTATTTTATAATATTTATGTCATTTACTTATTTTCTTGCTTTACTGGGTTGTCTAGGATCTCCTGGGCAATTGTAACTAGGAGTAGGGAAGATGTGAGCCTTTATCGTGTTCCCAGCCTTTTATCACTGAGTCTTGGGTTTGCTGTAGCTTTTTGTTGATAGCCTTTATCAGGTTGAGGAAGTCCTTATCTACTCCAAGTTAGCTAAAAGACTAGTTTTTAAATAATCGGTAGTAGTTGCATTTTAACAAAAGCTTTTTCCTGCATGTCTTATGATTTGTCTTGTTTAATTTTTTAATTTAGTGGCTACATTTATTGATTTTTCTAATATTACTCCAAACTTGGACTTGATAATGTTTCAATTTCTATATAGTAAGTTAGAATATAGTTTATATTATAGTCTGTTTATATTCAAATAAATCTAAACTAGTAAAATATATTCTCTGAATATATAGAAAAATATATTTATTGTATATAAATGTGTGTGTGTGTGTGTATTTATTTTTTCTTTTGGCAGTGAGTGGAACAGGCTTGTATTTTATTTTCTCATCTGTCCTTAATAGATTTTGGTATGAAAATTATGCTAGGCTCAGGAAAAAAGTTGGAGTTGTTCCTTCTTTTTCTGATCTCTGGAGGAGTTTGTATATGATTGGAAAGATTCTTGAATGCCTGGTAGACCTCACTGATGAAGAAATCTGATTTATACTTATCTTTATGGGAGAATTTCTGACTGCTAATAAATATTATTTGTGAATAAAGGACTATTAAGTTTTTCTAGTTTGTTGAGTCCATTTTGATGAGCTAATTTTTAGAAGTTTGTTCATTTCTAGGTTTTCACATTTTTTATATAAAGTTATGTTATTCTCTTGACTATTTAATGCTTGTAACATTTATAATGATGTCTCTTGATACTTGTATTTGTACTGATTTTCTCTTTTTATGGATTTTATTATCTTTTCAAATACCAGTTTGAGAATAAATAATCTGTTTTCTGTTTAATTTTTGCTTATCATTTTTTCTTTATTTTTTAACATTTTAGTGTGCCCTTAACTCATTTTCAGCATTTTTTCTTTCTTTTTTTAAATACCTTTATTTTATTTATTCATTTTTATATGGTACTGAGGATCGAACCCAGGACCTTGCATATGCTAGGCGAGTGCTCTACCGCTGATACACAACCCCAGCATTTCAGCATTTTTTCTAACATGTACATTTAAATGTATGTTTTCATTGTTGTTTATATGTTTTCTGATTTTCAATACTTTTTAAAAATCTAAATGTTATTTAGCAGTTTATTTCTTAATTATCTGGGTTTCTTAGTTTCTAAACACGTGGGCTTTCTCTAGTTATCTTTTTGTGACTGATGTCTATTACTGATTTCAAACTTAGTTGCCTTGTGAACATATAGGTGATTTAGGTCTTTGGACATTTGATGGGGCTTTTTTATGACCCTGGCAAATGGATGATTTTTGTAAATGTTCTGTATATATTTGAAAAGAATGTTCTATTCTACAGTTGCTGAGTACAATGTGCTATTTATGGCCAGTGAATCACATTGCATGTTATTCAAAGAGAATCTACAGATTTTTGTTTTTAGTACTCTTATTATTCTATTGTTTATTACATGTGTTAAAATCTTCCACTATGATTGTGGAATTGCTTATTTGTTTTATAATTCTGTTTAGTTATTGCTTTTTGAGTTCAAGTTTTAAATAGTTGTCTTTCCAACGAATTGAATATTTTGCCATTATAAAATAAAATGACCTTTATTAATGAAAATCAATTCATATAGCTATTCCAGCTGTTTTTTTTTTTTAAAGCTTGTTTTTTTTTTTTTGTCCTTTTTATCTTATACCTTTTTATATTTTTAAAAATATGTTTAGCTGGGCTGGGGATGTGGCTCAAGTGGTAGCGCGCTCGCCTGGCATGCATGCAACCCGGGTTCGATCCTCAGCACCACATACAAACAAAGATGTTGTGTCCGACGAAAACTAAAAAATAAATATTAAAATTCTCTCTCTCTCTCTCTCTCTCTCAAAAAAATAAGTTTAGCTGGAGCATTTAATATCATTAGATTTAATAGTTAGGTTCCTTGTCTTTTGAATTGATTATTTTGTATTCTACTTTTTTTTGTTAATATAGAAATTGTGCAATTTGTCATTTACTGGTTGCTCAAAACCTAAAATTAATTTCTTTTCCTTTCCCCACCCTACTTCATTCCTACAGAACTGAGAGAAGATGGTTTCCAGCCTCAGACTTATCTAGTACAGGGAGTGAAAGCACTGCATACTGCTTTAAAATTATGGATGAAAAAAGATGTAAGTCATTATAGTTGTTTTTATGTAGCAAGGTCAAGAAGAAAAGAGTACTTTTGCTGTTTTTGCAGCATTTGAATTTGCCACTGGTAGAGGGAATGGAAATCATGTTTTAAAATACAGCCTGCATTTTATTATACAGTATTTATAGATGTACTTGTGTCTGGTTATATTTTTGATAAGAAAGTACTTGAGTAAATCTTTAGTCTTTAATCTGGAAAATAAAATATTTCAAAAATATTTAAGATATTGACTAAGAGATGAACATGTAGCTATAGAATAAAATAAAATTGAGCTCTTATAATGTGCTTTGTCTTTATGTACAGGATTTCATTTAATCCACAGAGCAACTGTATGAGGTCTATTGGTACCCTGTTTAAGTAATTCCCAAAAGAACTGGTGAGCTAGGGACATAGAGTTAGTCTCTAAGATTATAAACCTCTGCTCTTTGCCACTCTGCTAAACTTATGTAAAAAATGAGGAAAAGGAGGTGGTAATATTCAAGCATGAGCTCTTTATTTTCACTAAATTGTGGCCCAGTTGTACTTGAAACCTTTGAGATATCATCCTACATCTCTGTTTAGAATTGGTATTTCCTTCCCTCTAGAGCATTTATCTCTTGTGCCAGTGGACTTAAAACTAATCTATATATAGAGAGAGTAAAAACTTAAAACACATCTGTAGAGAGTAAATTATGCATTTTTCCTTTCTCTGGGTTTATGAACTCTTGAAAAATAGGTTTCATCTTTCTCATTTTTATTTCAACTCATAGATCTTGGCACATAATGCTTTAATAAGTGATAAATAATATGCTAATGAAAATACATTTCCATGTTAATTTCTTGAATGTCCATTTGAAATTAAAATTCTACTCTTAAGAGATATTATTGGGAGACAATAATTAATAGGTTCTGATAGTCCCAGTAATTTTGACACTCCTTTCACTTTATTATCATTGCTATATATCCACAGAGAAAGGCAGTATGGAAAAATTCAGAAAATAAAAATCATGTCTTCCACCATCAAAGACTTCATTATCTAGATAATAAGGAAAAGCATAAGCAAATTAACAACTACCTGACATGATAAAAACAAAATCAAGCTTATGTTTTTAAAACTGTATAATCTGTTTCCTGCTGGAGGCTTTAGAGGAATGGTTCTCAAATGTGTGTATTTATCAGCATTGTCTGTAGAGTTTTTTTAAAAATAAAACCTCTGGATCCTTCTCTAGGGATTATAGTTTGGTAGATCTGGGATGGGTCTGAACTCAAAAACTTCATAGGTGATTTCAGTGCATATTAAAATTTGTTATCATGAGTAATGTTAAATTTGCTCTAAGATGAGAGGCAGCTTGCCTTAATGGTTAAGAGCTTGGATTTTAGAGTCAGATATTTGATTCAAATCTCAGCTTTGCTGCTAATAAACTATGTGACTCAGGGCACATTACCTAACCTCTGGGCCTTAGTTCCCTTGGTTGCAAAATGGGAATAATTTACAGGTTGAACATCCCTAATCTAAAAATCTGAAATCTGAAATGCTTCAAAATCCAAAATACTTTTGGTATTAAGCATTTCAGATAAGGAATACTAAAACCAATAGTATCTGTGTCATACAGTTATTGAAGGGGTTAAATGAGTTAATGCTTATAAATTATTTAACAGTATGAAAGCACAGAGTTAGTACTATGTTAATACTACTATTATTATCAGTTCGTTTCAATAAATTATGCTAAAACCAAGTAGAGGGTACAAAGCAAAAGTAGAAACTCTGCTATGTTGAATGTGTCTAAAAAATCAGAATGTTCTTAGATATAGAGATTAATATATGGAAATAGGCATAAAAATAATAACATTAGTTTGCAGTACAGTAAATGTGGTGACTCAACAATTAATTTTTTTTTTCTGTTCATTGGATTGTTTCCCCATTTTGCTTTTAACTGTTAAATGGAAAAGAGTTTACCAAAATTTATTCAAATTAGATTTCCATGAGACACTAGGATTATTTAAGTGCCTGTGTTCCCCATAAAATTCCTTATGTATTGTCAATTAAATGTTAGGCTAAATTATTGTTTTAGTAATTAGTATCTGTAGTAGTAACTGTAGTTAGAATTACAGCAGGATTTGAAGTGTAGAGTATAATGTTACTATTCAATATAAAGCAAAATTCAACAAAATTCAAACAAGTCTGTTTTTAATTCAGTTTGAGGATTTTATATGATTATAAAACATAAAATGATGATGAGGATCTCCTTAGAAGGTATTATACCAACTATATGATCTCTGAGACTGGGCTTATTGTTACTGGCTATGTCTGCAAAGTCTAGAGAACCCAAAAATAGTGTCAGTAGGTTAGTTTTTTATTAATAAAGTGTAAGTAACTTTGGTTTTGTTATCTTTGTTAATCCAAATACAGCTTGTATCTGAACATGCCTTTGAAATTCCAGACAATGTGAGACCTGGACATCTTATTAAGGAACTTTCTAAAGTAATTCGAGCAATAGAGGTAAGGATGGAAACTGTCATCTAAATGCTTGCTTACTCTGTTTTGAGAAGCAAATGGATCTACCACTATTGTGGGGTGACCAGTACTCTGCCAGGGTAGGTTCCTGCTCAGGAGGTGTGAGCTGCCTAGGAAAGAAAAAGTCTGAAATAATTAATAAGAAATAGAGACAGAGCCAGAAATTAGATAAAAAGGGGAGTGCCTGATAGGTCTTTTAATCCTGATAGGAGCGGAACTGAACAACTGAAAAATGTCCTTGGTTTCTTATTTTTAAATTTTTTTGTTGTTGTAGATGGACACAATCTATTTATTTATTTATTAAAAATATTTATTTATTTATGTATCTTTAGTTTTAGGTGGATACATTAGTTTGTTTTTATGTGGTGGCGAGGATCAAACCCAGTGCCTGACACACGCCAGGCAAGTGCTCCACCACTGAGCCACAACCCCCCCGGCACCCTCCTTCTTTTTTTTTAAGGGGGAGGACATCAAAGTCAGGGATAAGGTTTTAAGATTTCAGTGGAAGGAGTCTTGCTTCTCCATGTGGCAGTAAACATGTTGATTGGCATTTTGTCAGGCCACACCCATCCCTGAGAAGCTGTGTGGCTCCTGCTGGTCACTCCATCTCCCATGATGCTGTGCTGAACTTGTGACAGAGCTAGGTAGGAAGTTACATGAATTAGGCATTCCCAAACCAGCAAAGTTGTTCCTTTTTACCAAAGGAAAAAGTACCATTCAAAGCTGAGATTTGAATCCAAATATCTGACTCTAAAATCCAAGTCCCCAATACCAGACTTTCCTGCCTAATGCCTTCTACGTTCTTTTAGTTCACACATAGTTCACGTATAGTTCACGGATGGCTTCTGGCATACCACCATGATGCAAACATTTGAAAGCACCTTACACAGGGACTGGGGTGTAGCTCAGTAGTAGAGTGTTTGCCTATGACATGTGAGGTCCTGGATTCCATCCCTAGTATAAGAAAAAGAAAGGAAGTGAGAGAGGGAAAGAGGAAGGGAAGAGAAGAAAATGAAGCCAAAAGCACTTACACACTTAGAAGTACCACTTAGAAGAAATAGAATGAGCTGAGTCTTGGACAGAGTCTCAAGATTTCTAAAATCCTGGAGAAAAATTTGGGAATATTGTATTGCAATGAAGTAATGAAATAATGAGGAGGCAGTTTCCAGGTTACCTCAGGTTCTTCAGGTTACTTCAAAAATTAAAAAAAACAACAACATAGTTATCAGTACAACTTTCAGATCCAATTAATTTCAGCCATTCAGAAATGAATTCATGTTAAATAATTAGAGCAAGAGAAAAAACTAAGATAAAAAAAAAAACCTAAGGGAAGTGAGTAAAGTTAGGTGAAACTGTGTTGGAAAGAGGGATGATATTAGTGGGTTGGGCAAGGCAGTCCACTTGAGGGAAAATATGAGAGCAGCCAGTGAGGTAAATACTTTTGATAAAAACCTATAAATCTGATTAGGTATTTTAATAATTAATAGATATTCTAGGTATTTAAGAAAGGAGGTTTTTAATTAAAATAATTTTTCAGGAAAGTGATTGTTCTAGTGTATAGCTTAAATTAAGAGGAAATTAAGTGGAGGATGAAGGTCAACTGGTAAATTAACATCTGACATTAGGGCTGTTTTAAGGAATGAAAAGAGGTACGTATCTAAGAAATATTAAAATCCTAGATTTAGAATAAGAATAGTTCAAGTATTCTCAATATGTTCAAATGTAGTAGAAAAGTCTCTTAAAGAGTGATAGTAATTGCATATAAATGGATTTAGGATCAAAAAACATATTTTACCGAGTCCTATTTAAATTCCAAATGTTGAAGAAAAGGGAAGAATGGATAGGTTTAGGAAGTGGTATATGAGGATTAAAACTTAATTTGCGGGCTGGGGCAGTAGCTCAGTGGCAGAGCACTTGCCTTCCACGTGTGAGGCACTGGGTTCAATCCTTAGTCCACACAAAAATGAAACAAAGGCAATCTGCCCATTACTACTACAAAAAAAAATTTTTTTTAAACTTTTTCTTACATAGTAGGAATTCAGTAATACCTAAAGCTGAAATCAGTATAAACATATTGTTTAGAAAGTTAGAGACAAATAACTGGGTGGTGGTGGGGAAACAGTTGTCAGAATTGCAAGCTTTAGCTATGTACTCAGAATAATTGAAAGCAGGGTCTTGGACAGATATGTTTGTACCATATTTGTAGCAGCATTATTCACAATAGCCCAAAGGAAGGCGCAACGCAAGAGTCCATCAGTGGATGAATGGATAAACAAACTGGTACATAGAGTATATAAAATGGATATTCTGACACATGCTACAACATAGATGAACTTTGAAGGTATTTTGCTAAGTGAAATAAACCAGTCACAAAAGGACAAGTATGATCCCATTCATATGAGGTTCCTAGAATTGTCAAATTCATAGAGACAGAAAGCAGAATAATGGCTGTCAGGAGCTGGGGAAAAGGGAGGATGGGAAGTTAGTGGTTAATGGGGGCAGATGAAGAAGTTCTGGAGATGGATGGGGTGCTGATTGCACAGCAGTGTGACTGTACAGAATGCCCCTGAATTGTATACTTAAAAGTGGTTAAGATGGCAAATTTTATGTAACGTAAGTGTTTCCACAGGGTAAGTGGTTGCCTTTGAAAAATGTGTATCAGGGATGGGAAAGAGTAGACTGCTGCTTTTCATGATATTCTTATTTAATTTTTAAAACTGCATAGATGTATGGTCCATAAGAAATTACCAGGAGGAAAAAGTACCAAACTCAAGTACCACTGCATAGATAATCCTTAGAGAAGATAGCTTTGGCTTAGGATAGAGCCGAGGTTCCCATGTGGCAGTCGAAGTTAAGGAGAAAGAAAAGAAAGGCAGAAGAATTAATATAGTTAGATAGGAGAAAAAAATCTCCTTTGTTTTCACATTATCAGGGTGGGTTTTGAATCATTCAAAATCTTAATAAAATGTTTAAAATATTAACTAAATTCTGTGTATTCATTATTTCTAGAAGGCTGTAACATTTCATTATTGTATCTGGATATTTAGTCATTTTGCTGTAATACACTTTCTTTAATATATTTAACATGAAAAAAATAAGGGAAAAAACTGCAAAAATGTGTGGCTTTGATTTTTTTTTTTTTTAAATTTTTTGTAGTTGTAGATGGATAGCATACCTTTTTTTTATTTGTTTATTTTTATGTGGTGCTGAGGATCAAACCCAGTGCTTCACATATGCTAGGCAAGCACTCTGCCACTGAGCTACAGTCCCAGCCCTGTGACTTTGATTTAAAAAGTAAATATTGGGCTGGGGTTGTGGTTTGATGGTAGAGCACTTGCCTAGCATGTGTGAGTCACTGGGTTTAATTCTTAGCACCACATATAAACAAATAAATGTCCATCAACAACTAAATATATATGTATATACATATATAAAGTAAGTATTGATTTACATAAATATGTATGTAAAATGAATTTTTTCATTGGAAAGAACTGGAAGCAGCCTGAATAGCTACCTACCAGTAAGTATTAGGCCAGTAATTCATGATATACCCCTCACAGCTATTAGTATAATACTGGAAATCAAGGGAATGTGTTCACAGTATATTATATAGAGAAGAGATGGGAAACCAAGGCTTTGATTTGGTCTTTTTCTTTTCTGTGATTAAATGGAATATTTTTGTTTTCTAAGAGTATTTTTATGGCTGAATAGTCAAGTCTATATATAGTAGCCTTTTTCTTAAAATACATTCTGAATCTAATTCTTAAAGGAAGAAAATGGCAAACCAGTTAAATCTCAGGGAATTCCTACTGTGTGTCCAGTTTCACGATCCTCAAATGAAGCAACTTCCCCATACCATTCCCGACGAAAGATGAGGAAACTTCGAGATCATAATAATATTCGAACTCCTTCTAACCTAGACATCTTAGAGCTCCACACAAGGGAAGTTCTTAAAAGATTAGAGATGTGTCCATGGGAAGAGGTAAGTATTACATTTCATGATGAGAAAAATAAACCCAGTTGTTTGTTAAAGTTCTTTAAAGGGGTAATAAAATTTATATTATCACCTATTCTTGTTGTTATTTGCTGTAGAATTGTAGGGGTCAACAAATATTTTTGTCTGGGGGCAAGGTGGGGTGCCTAATCTTTCTAGGCATCACTGTCAAGTTAGGATGAATAGACCTTATTCATTTGCTGACATGTTTATTGAGTGTTTACCAAATACCCTGTACTCTCTTATGTTCTAGAGAAGTTGCCAGAGTAAGCAAAAATTAAGTCCCTGTCCTTATGAAACTTCATCAGAGTTCAAGTACAAAAATTGGGAGGCAAAAATATAAACTAAAATAATGTAATTTCAGATGCCAAATGTTTTGAAGGACAATAGAATAAATAGTCATGGTGAACTAGCTGCTTTAGCTGGTATGGTCGGAGAGCCTCTCAGGTGGAGATGTTTGAACTGACATCTTATTAACAGGAAGATGTCACATAGATACACAAATTTGGGGAATAGTATTGCAGGTCGGGGAAGAGCAAATGCACAAACCTGTCCTTGAGCCAACCCCAGCCTGGCTGACTACCTGACTAGGAGACTATTAGAATAAACCCTTTAAAATCAGAGAAATGCTGGCCTATTGGACAGAAGGGAGAGTGAGAGGCAGTAATAAGATCAATGCAGCACCATTTAAAACATGATAATGAATTTGTGATGAGATCTGTGTCATCTATGATTTTATATTTTAAGAACAGGATAGATAGTAATCCACAATGAATAAGGTAGAGGAATCACTAGATTAAAACATAAAAAAAAATTACATACAAATTATAACCTTCTTAAATATTTTAAATTGGACATAATTACATTGTTTTGAGAGTATGCTGTTCTAAGCCAGGCACAGTGGCATACATCTGTAATACCGGGGCTCAGGAGGCTGAGGCCCAGTGGTTAAATGCCCCCGAGTTCAATCCCCAGTACCAAAACCCCAAAATAAAATAATATATTGTTCTAAACCTACTTAAGTCATAGCCTTCTGGGGAAGTTTTAGCTTATTACAAAAGGTTCTACTTATTTTTAAGGAAAAATATCTCAGAAAGGAAATAATTTTTATACATTAAAAACAAGCTACTGGGGGGCTGGGGTTGTGGCTCAGCGGTAGAGCACTCGCCTAGCATGTGCGAGGCCCTGGGTTCGATCCTCAGCACCACATAAAAATAAATAAACAAAATAAAGGTATTGTGTACAACTACAAAATAAATATTAAAAAAAAAAAAAAAAGCTACTGGGGTTGGAATTGTGACTCAGTGGTAGAACACTTGCCTAGCGTGTGTGAGGCAATGGGTTTGATTCTCAGAGCTGCATATATATAAAACAAAGGTCCATTGACAACTAAAATAAATAAATAAGAATGAATAAAATGAGCTATCATTGTGTCTTTCTTCACCTTTTGGCCTCTGTGCCTGGTGATAATGGTGTGGATGCTGACAGTGCCTCATGGGAAGAGAGATATGAGGTCAAGGTAAGGGTAAGTGGGAAGGCTCAGCAGTTACACTTTAGCAGGAAGAAGCAGAAGAGAATAAAAAAAATCTAAGACCGTATTGCCCCTTCTTTTCAGCTTCTGCAGGAATGGAGCTTTCTTTGGATTTGCTTTATGCATATTTTATATTCTGCTTTACAAAATGTATATTATTGTCAATGGCCCTCCCAAAAGATGAACCATCCTCATGCTTTAACTTGAAGAACTCTGGAATATGGGATTGCTGCATGTTTCCAAACCCAGGCAGCTGCCTGTCACTCTGCATGGCAGGGCTATGGGGAAATAGCAGTCTCCTGTCTTCCTTCAGTGGAGCAGGTGTGCCTGAGGTTAAGTCAGTTCTATTTTTATACTTTAAGGACATCTTGAGCTCTAAACTGAATGGAAAATTCAACAAACATCTCCAACCATCTTCCACGGTACCTGAATGGAGAGCAAAAGATAATGATCTACGACTGCTGCTGACAAATGGAAGAATAATTAAGTATGTACAATAGATCAGGTATCAAACAGATAATTTTCGTTGGATTCCCTTTGTTCTTGCGCTGCCTTGTCCATACTGCTGGTGTTGACTATAGTATGGGGAAAGTGTCTCAGTTCTCTGCTCTGTAAATGAAGTGGGAGGGAATACATAGTCTTGCATTACTTCTGATTTGTTTTTTCCCAATGATACAGAGATGAGAGACAGCCCTTCGCAGATCAGAGTCTCTACACAGCAGATAGTGAAAATGAAGAGGATAAGAGAAGGACAAAGAAGACCATTATGAAGACAGAAGAGAGTTCAAGAATAGACAGGATAGAAAGCGAAGAATCTCGAAAACCACTTAACAGTACGTTTGCTGTAATAGTCATTTTAAAGTTCTCTTTATTCGTATAACAATTGATAAAGAAACTTACTAGTGTTAAAATTCTTAAGTTTGTAATAGGATTGAAAGTGTGTTCCTCATACTGTTCTGAAAAATCAGAAGTATGTCTGAATAGGGAAATGCTGAATGTGAATACCAATGAGGTATAGTGGCCAGGGATGTATCAGTGAGAGGGTTCGTGGGGGTAAGTGAGACCCATGTCTAGTCAGTTTTTAAAGTCACATGAAAGCTCATATGTTTTATGGATCTTTACATATATAGTTTTAGCATGCATATATGATTGGCTGACCTGAAGCTGCTTGGAATCCTTGTTCTGTAGTTTTATTTTATTGCCTCTTGATAGGAAGGCCTCTACTAGGTTGTTAATCAATTATCATCAAATAAAATAGCATTATCAGATGCCAAAGTAATACATCCTTCTCCTTCAGATCTTTTTTTTCTTGAATAAAGTCAATTTCTCAACATCTGTCAAGATTTCCATATGCCCTTCTATTTTAAAAAGTAGTTAAAAAAATTTGCAGTATTTTAGTACTTGATAAGTAAATGTTCCAGATAATGAGTATTACTTAATGCATGTTGAATATTTCAGATCCTGCTAATTCCATGTAAATTTGGTATATATACAGTTGTTGACTTTGCCTTTGTTCACATGCCAGTGAAAAGGCAGCTGATCAACAGGAATGGAAGAAATGGTGCTGTGTGACAGTGCCTCATGGGAGAAACAGACAGTAGGAAAGCCCTGTTTATAATAAGCTCATTAAATTCACGTCTGTGGGAATGCATTTTAGGGTTTGGAGATTTATCTTTTTGTTTTCTGTTGAGAGAATTAATGCAAAAGGAGAAGTAAAGGTTTCTTAACAGCTTACTTTAGTTTTGAAGGCTGTTTTCTAGAAAGAAATGTAGTTAATTCACTCAAGTAAGGAATATAAATATAATCATCTTCAACAAATACCAGACATTTTAAGAAATACCTCAGTCTGTATCTTGGTTAATTATGGAGAAAGATGGGAGAGATGAGGAGAAAATTAAAGTAGTAAAAGTAGGCTAGGGCAGGAAAGACCAAGTGGTATTGTGAAGCAAGGTAGACTTTAGAAACTACCTGCCACCTTGTTCATAAAGTTCTAATGCTTTTTTTTTTTTCTTCCATCCTTTGTCTTCTTCATCAGGGTTTTTTACAAGTGTGAAATCAGAACTCAGGAATAGATCATCAGAATATTCTGATATTTCTGATTCAGAAGACTCTGGAGCTGATTGCACTGCACTGGTATGCTCGAAACCCTGTGACTTCCATCATTTGATGAGAGATAAGCATCCATGGATCTTCACCTAGGAGGAAGTCAAATAATAGCCCATCCCAAAGCTTGTCTGTCTGACCTGTGCAATACAGGGTCTTCCTATAGTTATTTTATACACACATATTCTGTGACTATCCAGCTTTTGTCCAGTTTTGAAAAGGGTAGACGACTTCCCTGCCTATATTATTCTTGGATTGATTGTATTTTTCACAAATATATTTTATATTTTATTATTCCTTAAAATCGATATAGTGTGTTTTTAAATTTAGGTTGTATGTTACCATAGTTACTGGAGATTTCACTTTTTTTCATATAAAACATTGAAGTAATTCTATGGTAATTAAGATTCTAAAAAAAAAAAAGATTCTAACTTTCTCTGGATGGATGAAGTCTTTTTTGATTAGTTTGTACAACCTTGATCAATTTCTTAGATAACTTTGTTTCCATTTAATTATTTATGATCTCAGAAAATTAATTTTACCACTGAAGAGTCCGAAAGTTCAGGCGATGAAAAGAAACAAGAAATAACATCAAATTTTAAGGAGGAATCTAATGGGATGAGGAACTTCCTACAAAAGAGTCAGAAGCCATCTAGAAGTGAAATTCCAATTAAAAGGTGGGCTTGCTGATGGTAGTATTTGTTTTACATTGTGATATAAACGCAATGAAGACTTTTTTTTATTTAAAGTTTTTTTTTAACTTATATATTTCATCAGAAAACATATTCTTTTCTCTTTGGATGACCTTCTCCTTAGGGAATGTCCTACCTCGACAAGCACAGAGGAAGAAGCTATTCAGGGCATGCTGTCTATGGCCGGGTTGCGCTATTCCACGTGTTTACAAAGGCAGATGCAAAGCACAGACTGCGGTGGTGAGAAGAACTCTCTCCAGGATCCTAACAGCTGCCACAGCAGTAACCATGAAGTTAGGCAGTTGTATCGCTATGATAAACCAGTAGAATATGGTAAGAAACATAAATTATTAAGTCTCTGAAAATATATGATCCCCAGTTTAATAGCTCTATAATCCTAGTTTAGGTTAGAGATTATATGAATAAAGACTATTTGTTACACATCTTTAGTTTGACATGGTGTTAAGAAAATTCACTAAAAAAATATATAGCACTGACAGACAAATCACGTAATATGTGAGCATAAGAACACAAAATATGAATGACCCAGGTCTGATAATTGCTTTCACTGGCACAGCTTTGCCGTTGCTCTTGCAAGACTGGAGTTTCCTTTTCACCACTGTTAGGTTGACCAGTTGGAAGGAATGTTTTGGTCTCTTAAATGGTCTGCTTAACTAAAACAGTCAACCTTTTTTTTCCTTTTATGAGAGGGAAAACAAGTTTTGAACTGTTTCTAATTGAGGATATTCTTTCTCCTCCTCGAAAAGGAAGAATTAGGAAAGAGTAGACTCAATGGCATGTCAGTGATGCCACCTAGTGTTTTCTTCTCTGTGCCTCCAGAGAAAAATTTTGTTTGCCAAAAAGTCTGAGAAGGATTTGGGAGAACACAGTACTGCATTAAGATTGAATGCCAGTGGTGTTCAGTTCCACATAAGTAAGAGTCAGCCATGGACCAGGAGCTTGATATTCATTTCATTTATGGGATAGGTAATATTGATCCCATTTTACAGAGAAAGGAAATAAGATTTATTGAAGTTACTTGTTTGTGTGTGGTATTGGGAATTGAACTCAGGGGTGCTCTGCCACTTATTTTAAGATAGGGTCTTACAAAGTTGCCCAGGCTGGCCTTGAACTATTGCCTCAACCTCCCAAGTAACTGGTATTGGGCTGTGGTTATAGCTCAGTGGTGGAGCAGTTGTCTAACACGCACGAGGCCCTGGGTTTTATCCCCAGTCCTGACAAAACAAAAAGTAAATGTAAAACAGACCAAATCTGGAATTACAGGCATGCACCACTGCACCTGCCTTGGTGAACTTATTTTAACTTGCTCATACTTTACATATACATAGATAGCTATTATTCAGAGCTATTATAATTTGAACTAAGTATTATCTGATCCCAAAGTCATTGAAGGTTAAATAGCTTGCCTAAAGTTTATTTGGTAATGGAAAAACTCATATTTAAATCTGGGTTTGTCTGTCCTTCCACTGCTCCATTTTTGTCTTCTTATAATCTGATTGGTCCTTTAAAAAAAAAGCTCTTTTTATGGAAATAACTACTAAGTTCAAGCAAACATGTGCCTTTAATTCTGTATGGGAAAACATGCCATTTTTAGAGAGTATATTACATTTGGTTTTACGTCAACAATATGTGGCCATAGGTGTTCTAGCATCTGACATAAAACCTGTCATATAAAGAGTCTTTGAGAGAACTGAAAAAAGTAGTAACAAGTTTGGTTGTAAGCTGATAACTTTTGTTTTTGTTTTGAGAGGGAAAAAGTGTAGCGAAAGTGAAGGTATATGAATAAATGTCTAAAGAATTAACAAAATGGTAAGCTAATTTTGTTCTTTAAAATCAAGTTTGTACAAAGATAATTCAATTAAAACTTCTCCCTAGGATACCATGTCAAGACTGAAGATCAAGACTTGAGGACTTCTTCCTGGGTTAAACAATTTGATAGAACTTCCAGATTTAATCCTCAGGTATATTTCAAAGTTGAAACATTAAAAGGAGATTTAAAATCATCATTATTTTGATTTCTTTTCTAAAACTGTAACTGGTTATTAACTACTACCTCTAGGAAGCCAAATGTTACATGCACATTTGAACAACTGTCCATTTTTAGAGATTCTGCTGTGATGCCTGATGCTTCAAGGCTTAAAGACAGAATGTGATATGTGATATGGAAAAGAGTAACTTTTTCAAGAAAGAGTTAAAACCGTTGGCAGCAAACACCTGTAAGGTTTTATCTAATTAGAGTGAAAAATGAGGAAAAGAGCATCTCTTTTTCATTTCTGATATTGTCTCTTAAACATTTTGATACTAAATTTCTTTCAGGATTTGATGAAAGTTACAGATTATCTTTCCCCAAAAAATATTTAATTGACTTTTGCTTACATTTGCTAAATGATGCATGCTGCCATCACCAAATCTCCATTGACTACAAATTAAAAACCTCTGCTCTAAGACAGAAACTAGATGTTTTAGGATCTCAGCATATTTGTGCTTATACCATATAGAATGAACCCCAAACAGCATTAAAAGAAACAAACAAACAACAACAACAACAAAAACCAAACTAAACCTACAGTAACACCAAACAAAGAACATGATAAGACCTTTTGCTGCAAGCCTTAGAAAATGGCAGCCAGAGAAAGAATCAGTGTTATCATGCAGTGGAGTGGGGCCCCTAAAACTCCCCAACCCCAAGCATACTTAAGAAGGAAAGTAAATCAAGCAAATGCAGAAATACTGTCATTTCTCTCTTGTTTTAAAAAAACACTTTGAGGGGGAGTGGTGAGAGGAGGGGAGCTGAGTAGGCAGTTTAAGAAAAAGCAAAAGAAGACTCTCATGAATAAAGATTAGTGTTATACTGATAGACCTCAGCAGGACTGGAAGTGTCTTCCAGAGCCTTGGGTTGAGTTGGAGGTGTGAACTTAAACTATCCGAGGAGGAGATGTATGTGTGTGCACAGAAAAGGCAGTAAGACTCTGCCTCCATGAATTCAATATTTTTGATATCTGAGTAGTGGAATTATGGGTGGTTTTCTTTTCTTGGCTTGGCTTATCTGGATTTTCTAAATTTTATTACTTTTGCAATAAGAAAAAGTTTTTTTGTGGCAATGTTTTTTTGTGGTGCTGGGCCTTGCACATGCAAGGCAAGTGCTATACCCCAAGTTTTTTTTTGTTGTTGTTGTTTTAAAAAAAACAAGGCTTTGTGCAATCTAGTTCTTTGAGCAGACGGATATGCTCCAGAGTCAAAGGTCAAGTAAGAAATTTCTTACCGGTTACAATTCACTTTTTCAGTGTGTGATTTTGTAGTGGATTTTGTAGTGGCTGGGTATACAGTTTGTTACTTACTAACATCAGAGGGATTTAGAATTAAAAATAAGCTATTAAAAAATTAAAGTAAGCTATTATTTTAAATCTGGCTTTTGTGTTTTGTATTGTCTTTGAAAATAAATGAAGAAGCAGAGGGCATATGATTAGCAAGATCACAGTAGAGCAAATCAAATTTCTTTTGTCTATAATCTAGAGAGATATTATAATGGCATCTCAAATTATAGGATTATGGTCTAGAATATTTGTTAGACTAATTTACAGCAATTCTGTATTTAATACTACTTTTGAAACTTATTTGATCAATGTAGAGTCAGATCAAATGTTTTTCACATTTCTTTCATACACATGCATGCATAATTAAAGCTAGTTTCTGAAACATCACACTGCAGGGTACTCTTCATGGCCAGTCTGTTCCTTTCTCCAGCTGGTCATGACCTTCTTAGTTAATTTCAAGACTCATTAGTTAGTAGTGTCAACCTGCTTGAAGGTTAACTCAATAGTCTTGAGAGACTGAAAGAGGAATTATAGTCAAATAAATAACAGGCTTGGGGTTCTGGAATTAGGGATTTTTCTAGCAAATAAATACAGTGTAGATGAACCTTACAGAAGTTAAAGTCCTTTTTTTTTTTTTTTTGTGGTACTGGGTATTGAACTCAGGCACTCAAAGTTAAGTTCCAGAAATATAGCACATTACATCATGAGAGTTTTGTGGAAGCTGTGATGTGCTAAGGAAATGGTTGGGTCTCTGTGTCCCATCTTGTATCCCCCATGGCTCATGGAATGGCAGCAGACACCTCTGTTATCCCTCCCTCCCTCCTCCCCCTCTTCTTGACTTAGTTATGATGCAACTTCAAGACCTGGATTCTTCTGAACTATTAGATTTATTATGGATGAGATGACCATCATGAAGGGTGGTCATCTTTAGTTAATACATTAAGAAAACTAAAATTTAGTAGTTTGTTTCTTCTCTCTCTTAACTTTGCTAATGTAGAGTTTGAATACCTCACTTATCATAAACGCTAAAAATTCAGCTTTGTTTCCTTTTTTTTTTCAGGACCTAAGCAGAAGCCAGAAATGCATCAAAAAGGAAGGTTCATCAGAAACCAGTCAGAAGGTGCAAAGTAGGAATTATATGGAGAGCAGTGGCTCAGGTCTTCAGAATGGAAAGTACATGCAGAATTCCATCTTGCTTTCAGGGGCATGCCAGATGAGTAATGGCAGCCTAAGCCCAGAAAGGCCAGTTGGTGAAACTTCCTTTTCAGTGCCCCTTCACCCCACCAAGAGACCTGCATCAAATCCACCACCTATCAGCAACCAGGCAACAAAAGGTAAATTTTAAATATTTGCAGATTAAGTATATTTCTGACTGTGTTTGGCAGTAATGGCATCATTACTTCATTCAAGATGCTATCTCATGAATTTTGACAGCTCTGTAATAGTATGCTCAAGCTACTGTGGGAACAAAGAAGGAAGTTACCTGGCCAACCCTGAGGATCAGGAGGAGGCAGATCCTAAAAGTAGATGATAAGGAGTTAACCAAGCTGAATTGGGGAATAGATAGAATAGACAGAAAGGAAGGCTGAGGAGAGAGCATGACCTAAGGTACCCAAGGAAGAACAGTTTGTGAGGTTTCGGTGAAATTGCAGTACATTTTGTAGCTGAAAACCATAGTTTGTTTAGAAAGAGGTTAGTCTTTACCCCAGCATGATGAGGGGGAAGAGTTTTAAACAGTGTAAGTCCATGGACTGGAGTCGTGGCTGAGTGGTAAAGCACTTGCATAGCACGCATGAGCCACTGGGTTCCATCCCCGACATCACATTAAAAAAAAAAAACAGTTGAAGTCCAAAAGTGTGGCTTGGTGTAGTCAAATGCCTAATGGGCTTGCTTACTGTAAAATTCTCTTTAAGTCTTTCTGTGCTGTCTGGTGAGTATGCTTTTCATTGTTGTTGCTGTTTTATAGGTAAACGTCCTAAAAAAGGAATGGCAACAGCCAAACAACGTCTTGGAAAGATCCTTAAGTTGAACAGAAATGGCCATGCACGTTTCTTTGTGTGACAGAGCCACTGTTGCAGCCACTCTTCACTTTGGAGACCAGTCTTGGGGTGCAGAAGCCTGGAGCTTCCACCACCCCCTGCCTGGAACATTTGCGTGTACAGTAAGAACACTGCCCGAAGAACGGAATGAACCTGATGCTGCATTTTCACTGTGCCACACCCACTCAGCAATAACCCTTTGGACCTGGTGGGGGAGAGGAAGAAGGAGGGTAGAACCTTAAAAAGAGACCTCGAACTGGAAAGGGTCTCTTGTCAGGGCTTGAATTTCATTTTGTTGTTGGTAGTGTCTTGATTTATTTTCAGTAGTAGGGTAAAGAATTATCAATAATTTATTTAACAGATTTTTTTTAAAGTTAACAGCTTTTAAATTCTTTCTTTTTTAAAGCTATTTATTTGGAAGATTTCTGGAGAAATATCTCACTAATTTAGATTTAAGAATGTGAAGGTTTTTAAATTATTTTTGATAGTGTGTGTGTTACATGTGGGAAAGAGCCACGGTAACAGTAACTAGTCTGGACTCTTAAATTTGATATTCAGGTTAAAGTCTTAAACAGGGATTTGATGCATTAATTATTTTAAATTAAGATGTATATGAAAATCATTTTATTTTATATATTTCATGTGTTTTTTATAAGCTATTAGCTTCGCTTTTGCTAACATTCAAGGTGCATACTGTTATCCAGGTTGATTCCCTTATACCCCACCTTCCCTCTGCACCCCCCTGTCATTTTGTGATGACTCTTCAAGACTCTTCTCTTTGCAGGGAAATACTTCCATAGCCAATGTGTAAGAACTTCATAAAAGATCCCTCATTTCTCATTTCCTTTGACATTGTGGTTTTCTTCTAAGTATAAAGAACTAGGCTTCTTATGTTTTCATTTCTGCTGATGATATCTGGGTCCCAAAGAGAACAGCTTTAATATCTTTTTCCTACTTGTGCGGAAAGTATTATAAGTTTGGTTAAATAGTCATGTTTGTATTTTTTCCAAATACATTTGTAACTACAGAGGGCCTTCTTCCTACTGTCAGTGTTGAAGGACAGGGCCAATGCCTGCTGCAAGGTTATATCTCATGATGCTTTTATTCTTTACACCTAATTTGTTGAAAAGTATGAATTGATGTAGGATATACAAATCTGCATAATAAGCCGTAATATAATAGGATTATACTATATTAAGTTGTATAGATGCAAGCATGTTGGAGTAGATTGTGTGTGTGTGTGTGTGTGTGTATGTATGTATGTGTGTTTGTGTTTACTTTTTCTTAACCTTGTGCATAATTATTTCATATATGGATTTGGAGTAAAATGGGTGCTTCTTTTTGCAGTTTCTTCCATATATCTTAACTTGACCACTGTATACTTAGGTTAACTATCTGGTTGAACTTTAAGGTAATCATTTATCTCCTTTATGTACAATTTTTACTAAATATTAGTTTTCAGTTGCTGATCAGAGTTTCTGGTTTCCCTTCCCCACCCTCACCCCATCCATGGTATAAAAATAAATGATTGCTAGGGATGAAGTGGAACTATTCTTAAGTCTGACAGTATAGCATTTTACAAATTTCTACAAAGACAATATAGGCAAATAGGCTGGAATTTATTTTTATGGAGAAAAAATATGGCCATACTATGGATTTGTCTTTTTTTTTTTTATAAGCAAGGTAGCAGGACTTTTCCTTCTGTATTAAGTATCACTAAGTTATTAAGAAAAAAAAAAAAACTATACCATTATCTTTCATGGTTGCATTCAAATGTGTATTTCCAAAGAGAGATATTTCTTACTCTGTCTCCATTCCAGTATTTCATGAGAGAACTATGAAATAACTTCTGAGTTAGCCTTTTTGGTCCAGAGTGTCTGGGCCAGAGTCTGAATCTTATCTGGATGTCCAGGAAAATAATTTTTATGGAAATCCTTAAAATTTGTAAACAACCTACTTAAAACCCTGTCTGTAGTATACCTAACTAGTGGAGAGATGGCTGTAGTCAACCATTGGCTGGTCATCATATATCAAAATGCAAAAATCTGGGTTTGATTGATTCTCTCACCTTCCTCCACAGTATATCTCTATATACTTGTGTGTCTTGGTTTTTTGTAGACCCTGTTTTGATGTTATAGTATACATATTTTTATTTTGGTTTAAGAAATAGGACTATAATTTCTTTTTCCAGTTACATCATAATCTGGATTTTTTTCTTTATAATTTTCACAACTTATTTTTAATTACTTTTTTCTTTAGCCGTAAAAATTGAGAAAAAACATAATTTATTTTTAAGAAAAAAATCGTGGCCACTATCCACCCTGTGTCCTTAGATCAATAAACACTAATTCTGAGTAGCAAATATGTGGAATTTTTAAGTGAAAGTACTGTGGATTTGTTTTTGGCAGTTTTAGCTCACTAACTGGCTAAGTTCCAAAACTTTCATCAAGGTCATATAACCACTATAAGAGAGTACATGCATCTTTTTTTCTGAATTGGTAAAAATTCAGCTACCCATCCAGGGACTTTTCTAATCAAACCTCTTATAAAGTTACTGCTATGATGCATTCCTTTATCTCTTGGAACTGACTGAACTTTGAGGTAATGACTGCCGGTTTCTGGGCTCAACAGTAACATAAGTAACCTTTAGTGTTTAACTTAGTTTTGTTTATGATCAGTATACCACAGTTTAGACAGGAAGACAGCATTTAGTTAGTTGTAAGCAAATACAAATATGTAAAATCAAGAATTAATGATTTAATGTATGCAACTTAACAGTAGTAGTAATTTTTCTATATTGATAGTAATTTTCCTATATTGATTCTTAACTTGGGATCCACTGTACTGTAATTCACATCATCACACAATATTATGCTCCCCAGTACTGACGAGTGATGTAAACAATACAAAGCTGGCAGTTTATAGTAATTCAGTGTCTTAGGAATACATTTGAATTTCATAAGTATCAGTTCATTTCTGAAGCATACAAAATTGAACATTCAGACTGAAATCATAAACTCAGAGAGGAAACAAGCTCATCTTTATCACTAGTTAAATACTTAACTTGAACGTTCTATTTTTAACAACCCCAATTATTGCCTTTTCATTGTACTCTACTGTATGTATTCATATGGGATCAGCAGGTATTTATCAAACATTTACTGTGTGCCTCGCACTATTTAGTATGGTAGGGTAATATCAAGTTGCAGTTGTAGTCTTTGCCCAAGAAATTGTCTTCTCCAGGAACTTAGCAGTACTGTTTTCACTTTTAGGCAAACTTCAGCAAAAGAGGGCTCCTTCATTAAAAAAAAAAGTAGCTTATCTCTATTAGTTTCAATTGAGATATCCCACTGTAGAAGTAAAATCGACCTGAGTTCTTTAAGAAACATTTCAAAAGTTAGTTAATAATGTTGGTAACATAAAGATGTGAAATGATGTGGAAGAAAGCAAAAGGTCCTGAGTTTTGGTCTAAGTTCTGCTTCTGATGTGTCAGCTCTTGACCTTAAATAAGTCACTTAGCCTTTCTAGTTTTAGTTGTCTTATTTGTAAATTTGGATGAAAATGCTTATTATAATAATTACTGAAGAAAAACATTCCTTAATCTATTAATACTTCATATTTACAGAGAATTGATCATTATTTAAGTTACAACTCGTAATGAATGCATCTTTATATACATTTTTAAATGAAAACTGTTGTTTCTTATCAAATATATGCTATCTAAAAAAATCCGAAGATTCTCTAACAAGGTGCTGAATTACAGTTAGATCCTGTGCTTGAAGTGAAATAAAAAGAGGTGAGCTAGTTTATGGATAGGAAAGTGAGAGAGTTTATTCTCAAGTTCATGAAGATGATGTAAAATGATTAAAAGATACCTTTAGATTTTAGTACTGCTTTCCAGATTTGGCATACTTTTGAGGTACTGGAGAAAAATGGAATAAGTTATGGAATTAAAATTATTTAGCAACTACCCTCGGGACTGGTAGAAAGACGGAACTCCTCAGACAGCTGCAGGTCGGGTGACAGTTGCCTGGGTAAACAAAGAAATCTTTGGAATAGTGCAGGAAAGGAGACTGACTATGTCTTCTACAGAAAATAATCTGCTTGTTTCAAAAGATGCTCTCTAAAGTGGTAAGGCTACTTCGGAGAGTTGATGGGAATGATTGCATGGCCCAGTATGCTACTGCTAGAAGTAACTGTTACAACAAATAAGCATTTTTAGTTTTTGCATGGAAGAGACAAGGGCTTTCATAATATAAACATCTTTCAGAAATTCATCTTTCTCATTAAATATTGACCTAATTTCTCCTTATATACAGAAAAGCTCTTGCCTAGTATGTGCAAGGCCCTTGGTTAGATCCCCTGCACTTCAAGAGAGAGAAGCGAAGTCTCCCTAGTCCTTTCCTGATGTCCTGCACCTTCATCCAAAGTGATCTTGAGGGTGAGCGTCATGTATCTTTAGCCTAGGAAAGCCAGTGAAAAAAGAAGACAAATGTACACCTGATAGGGCAGTGATTTGCTTGGGGACACAGGGTGAATCTGCTTGGGATCTATAGAATAAAACCTTGCTTCCTAAAACAGCTCCTGTTCTGTGACACTGCAGCCTCTGCTTGCCTTGCCGTAGATGATATTCGTATGCTTGAGGTCAGATGGAAAGGAAGGGGAGAAATTACTATACTTACTACTAAATTGCTGTTGAGTGTAATGTCAACTTAGTACTATAGCCTTACTAAAAACCCTCAGTGAGCATGCCATAAGTCAAAGAAATACTTGATATTACATAAACAGTTTTAAGATCATCCAGAACAAATGCATATTTCCAAAGCAGTTAACTTATTGTGATGGACTGGTTTTATTCCTCTGTAGAAATTTTTCCTTCTTTAGTTGGGAGGAGAAAATAATACTGAGTTGAGAGACCCTTAGATTCTCCCTCTTGCCTTTGGTGCCCCTTCTTGTGTCTTAAGACTTTGTCTTAACAAGTGCAACATTACATTTTTGTTACAATCTTTTTAAAACTGTATTCAATGATTCTTCCAACAAGTTTATCTGCTCTGCACTATTTCACTAATATACCCTGGCTACCACGTAGCCCTTGACCTCCAAGTAGTTTACCTATGCAAAACCCATGACCTTCTGAATTCACTTTTCTTTATTTCAGAAAGCACTCATAAACAGAACTTCCTTTAAAAAACAAAAACAAAACAACAAAAAAAACTTATTTTCAACCAGTTTTATTTTGGCCATTTCTTTTGCAAAATATAAGCTATTTCCCCCTAAGGTTTTTCACCAAAACAATGGTCATTAAGTGCTAGGATATATAATATTTTGCAGTAATAAAATAACCCAGGCATACTCTTATATTTATTTGGTGGATTTTGGTTGGTAAAAATTACCAGCACTAAATGTAATATATAATGAGGAGTTGATTCCTTGCCTAGAATCGTTTCTTCCCTCTAAGATTCAAAAGTAACGTTTTATTTTTTACAAAGCATACATATAACTTCCACACTATAGTCAGGGACCTGAGGTGTAACTTAACTAAGTGAACCCCAAGGTTATTTTATCTTGTAAAAGAAACCTAAACCAAACTAAGGGCCTTACAGTTTATGGTTAGACTGAATCAAATGCTACAGCCTCAGTTTTTCCACAAACAGCTTCTGGCTGCAAAGCAAGTCGTGCAGTTATTAGGCATGGAGTAGCACCGATCAGGAAACGCACGAGCATCTTTGCAGACTGTATTTCCTTCGGAAAAGACTTTTCTACTTTTAATATAAATTAAGCCATAACAGTTTCATGCTGTGGAAAGAGGGTGAAAAGGTTCATTTTAAGAGATTATATAGTATGAATTTTCACATTTACTGTGAAATGTCTAACTTTTCCAGTGCTTCAGCAAGTTTTC